GTGCATTTTAGTGCTTGGTGGAGCTAATCCACCGGGTGGAGAGCGTTGCACCGACATCGTATTTAATTGAAAGTGTTTAGGCCTAAATATTCCGATGGCCGGCGATCGATGCAAGGGACGCGTCTTGCGTACACGCACACTAGGCGAGATGAAAAGGGTGTGAGCTTGGGTGCGTCTTTGGAGGTGTCTGTGGAGTTTGAGATTGGTGTTTCGTTACACGTTCAGTGTGTGCAAAGACTCACGGCAATATGCTTGTCTTCATCACAGGCGAGTTTTTCTTGCTTGCGCGGTGTAGTCATACACCTCCTTGATTTTATGCACTCCTATTATTTCACTACACTTTTATGAAATTTATTATTGTAGTATTTTTACGAAAATGAACTTATCGAGAGGTTAAGCAAACTGCGGTGTCCACGTGGGGAGAGGTATAATATTGTAGCCTTTGGTTTATACGTACACCATGGAGGTTAGAGAACAGGAGAACGATCGCTGTAGAAAATAGTGTCCCAGAAATATGGACAAAATAAGTGTCTCAATAAAAGCGAGCTGATGTGCGCTAGTTTGAAATGATTATAATATCATTCAAAGATAAAAAAAAAGGAAATAACTAAATTATTATTTATTATTATTATTATTATTGTTTATTAATAAATAAATTATAAATTATGTTTTTTATAATTTTTATTAATAAAAATATTATAAACTATTACAAATATAATTTATTAATTATTATTGATTTATTATGGGGTATCCATATAGTTTCTCATCTGGTTGGGTTCCATAAATATATAATTGCGAACGAAAATGATAAATATACATAAACAATAAAATAAAATAAATACATAAAAATACATACATAGAAAAGCCCAACCAGATGGAAGCCCTCGGTAGGGGTGACCAAACGACCGAGGCATAGGGGGGAAAGGGAAAGAAACCGGCGGAAGATGCGGGTGGTATCGAGGAGCACCGCCTTCTGTATTTGAGCCCGGAGCGGTCCGTCACGGAGTCCCAGTCACCTCAGACGACCCGAGAGGCTAACTGGGATTAGCCCATTCGGAGAGACGACTACAGGAATAATTTCGGTCGGCAGACCAACTCAAATATCGGTCACCTCGAGAGCCAGGTCCAGATATTTTGTTTTCTTATCTGATTCGGCTTTCACTAGGTTCTCGTCATATGGAATGGTAATGTCGACCAAAAATATCCTTGACTGTTTCTGGTCCATCAGCACAATATCAGGTTTATTCGCAAGAATAGTCCTGTCTGCGATGATGGCCCGGTCCCAGTAGAGCCTGACACGGTCATTTTCGAGCACGGCTTCCGGTAAGTAGTTATAATAAAGCAGTTTTCGATCCACGAGACCGTATTTCAGAGCGAGCTCCTGGTATAGAATCCTGGCTACTAGGTTGTACAAGTACTCAGAGTTAGAAAGCGCCGAACAACTGCAGATGACATACCTAATTGTCCCACCGAGATGGCGATAACAGGCTCGTTCGACAAACGTCGACGGTGCCATCCTTTAGGACGTATATCCGATAGTTGTTAGTCTTAATAACCTGATCCTGTATTGCACAGACAAAACCCTCGGTTTCCCCGAAGTGGTCACCGAAACGTAACCAGTGGAGGGAAGCGACTGAATCTACGTAGGTCCTGCCATTGCTCGTTGGCTAAGGATAGAGGGGTAAGCCCTTTATCGCAGAATTGACGTCATTATAGAATGGATCATCTGATCTAGCCAGGAAGTAATGACGGAGGCTGCACACTTCGCGATTATACATGGTGAGCGCGTTCAGTAAACCCACCATGTATAATCGCGAAGTGTGCAGCCTCCGTGTTGCCACTGAAGGATGCTGGCCGACGGAGAACATGGAGTAGAAGGAGCTCCACGGGAAGAATCGAATCCCCGTGAACCCTAAGTGGTCGCTTCCCTCCACTGGTTACGTTTCGGTGACCCACTCGAGCAGAAAACAGCAGTGGAGGGAAGCGACTGAATACGAAGGGCCCACGTAGAGCTCTATCTCCCGTGGAGCTCCTTCTACTTCCATACGTTCTCCCGGTCGGAAATGCTTTGTACTGCTAGGTCCTGCCATTGCTCGTTGGCTAAGGATAGAGGGGTAAGCCCTTTATCACTAGAATTGACGTCATTATAGAATGGATCATCTGATCTAGCCAGGAAGTAATGACGGAGGCTGCACACTTCGCGATTATACATGGTGAGCGCGTTCAGTAAGCCCACCATGCTTTGCGGCAAATGCAGCCTCATTACCGACGATCTCGGATGATGCACCCTATGGGACGTCATGGTGGTGCGGACTTTTCTATCCAGGGCGTTAAGTTCAGTCTGAGTCTACCTGAGTATGCCACAGGTATACATGAGGACAGGCATGACCCAACCGTTATATGCGTGTGTCTTATTCACACCGGACAAAAGGCTGTTAAGCACTTTGGTCAAGCGTGCATAAAACACGTCGCAAACTGACTGTTTCATAGCAGCCTCATCGATACCGATGTTCTGTGATATACCCAGTTATCGGTATGTTTCAGCCTCGGAAAGGGTCCTTAGGTTGATGGGCATAGATAAGTCCTCAGAGTTAGCAACCCTTCCCCTTTCAACATGGAGGACCGCACACTTATCCGTTCCCAGCTCCAATCCAATAGAATTGCTAAATTCACAAGTGATGCTTAGCAATTCCACAAGAGCGATTGGAGGCGAATAACTTGAGGTTATTCATATAGAAAAGGTCACTTTGTACCTCCTTTCCGAAGCTGAAATCCCCTCCCGAAGCCCTCCAGTAAAGTACTGAGAGGGTTCAAAGAGAGGCAGAACCAGATTGGACTCAGACAATCGCCCTGGAAGATACCCCTTCTTATCCTTATGTGGTTCTCCGCAGCCCAGATGACAAATGATCGTACTCCACTGCCCCATACACTGCTCGAGGAAGTCTCTAACTGTACAGTTCGAGGACTCTCTTTAGCCATGTATGGGGCACCGAGTCGAATCCCTTTCTGTAGTCTTTCCAGGTGGCGGAGAAGTTCCAACGGATGTAAATTTTGAGAATTTACTAACTTGCAAATCTTGTAATTAACCTTAATTCGCCAATTTCTTAAAAGTTAAATAAAGACTAATTTAGTTAAAAAAAAAACATGATTAATTAAGTATATAATAATTTTACATATTCAATATTTCAATATGCATTATGAATCGATAACGTATGAAGATATGTGCTATATATATGCAATTTTGAAATTGCGAAATTGATATATATATATATATGCAATTTATTTGAAAACATTACGTGTTGGATGTTTCTCAGTGCAAACGTAGTGTAAAATAAATCACACAACATGTTTTGTTGATGGTGGCGTTCGCATTCACAAAAACTGTGTAAAATTTCAACACATATTCAAACTTATCTTTCAACATGTCAATGTTTCTACAAAATTGTTTTCAAACATTTGGTTTCTGTAGTTATAAAGATATAATATAGATAAAATATGTAATGTACAATAAACTGTCAAACATATTTCACTACAACATGTGCTTTGACTATGCAAACACTATTTGATACATTGACAGAAAACAGTATTTAAAACATGTTTTTATTTTGTTAAATTTATATCAAGTCAGAGCCCAGACTGGCCTAGACAGACTTTGGGAGGTGGGACTACAGATCTTTGAGTTCTTTTTTATTTAACTGGCTTTACGACTCTGGGCTCTAGTCCTTCTGAGCATATCGTTTCTTTCAGAATCTTCATTTTACATATTTTTTTACAAAATGATGATGCGTCATATTGCCAAGTTTTTAACGACAGCTCAACCCATCGGACTGTTGACGTTGACAGCCACTTCATCACACAGTTCATAAGGAGCCCAAGCGATCAAATTTACTTGAGGTTTTGTATTAACATCAAAGCACTTGTTTCGTCGTTTTTTTTAATATTTCAGACAATTAATTCACAAAATCACATCACTATTACGAATTAAATTCCTCTTCAAACGATTATTCAAGCGACAAAACATGAGTAATAGTTCGTCGACGGCCAAGTTCCCGCCGAAACTTCACCTTTGAGTATTAAATACATACTCCAAATACTCAAAGCTACAGACTACTAAGAGGATACTTCGCATCATGGAGGTTAGAGAACAGGAGAACGATCGCCGTAAAAAATAGTGTCCCAGAAATATGGACACCATAAGTGAGGCTTTGCGATCGTTAAGTTCGCTCAATAAAAGTCATTTTCAGTCTATTTTTCCGACCAGATGCTGAACCAATTGCACATCCACGCACAATAAAATATTTATCCATTTTTTATGTTTTATTTTTGTCAAAAATTTAAAAATTACGGAGCATGAAAATTTTCTCACCAATGCCGCGAAGAAAATTTGTACATTATTCAACTAACTTCATCTACTTGTACTCATAAACAGCTATCTTCGCAGCCACTACTCACCGACGGCAGCGCTGCTATAAATTCTACAAATTTTCAAGGACAGGTGGGCTATGCTTTAGTACGTAGCGATCGTTCTCCTGTTCTCTGGCCTCCATGCTTCGCATGTTTGTACTTGTAGCTTGTAGTAGTTTGTGGTATAATGCAAAGGTACTCTGTGTGTCACAGAATACATTTACCCTGACGGGTATAATGTACTCTGTGTAATAATGTCCTTGAGTCTTCATGTTACCTATATAACCTTACTATTTTGAAATTTTATCAATATATAATTGATGTAAAATTTACATCATATTTTGATTCCCTCATAAGTTGTTACTGTCACAAATGCATCATTAAATAATTAGGTGAGTATGCGAATAGTTTGTAAGTGTTAATTTTGAAATAAAGTTATCAAGTTCTAATATTTCTTACAATAAACAAACTGATATAATTATTATATAATTTATTGTAAGTTTATTAATTAAAATATTAGTTGTTAGGTTTCAAAACATTAACAATTTATTTTCAGGATGTTAACCTAAAGGCTCGGTTGTTTTGATTTTCTCACCATGTCCTATCTGAAGGTATTGCACTGTAGCTTATGCCGAAAAAACGGTATTTATGGTATTTCTTCAAAGTCCATACTGTTTAAAATTGGTGTGAGTAGTATTAGCATTATTAAATCTATCTATAAGTAATGTGTTAGAAATTTAATTTAACTAAAGTGTTATATACTTCTCAACTTTAAAGTTAATAATAATGATTTCAAAAAGGTCAGTTAGCTTCGATATGGGTATAACAATTTTTCTTATACTAATATTTTTAACAACATGCGTATATATTTTCTTCAAGCGAAGTGAATAGTGGTAACCATTGTTTACTTTAAATAAAGTAGTGGGTAAAACTATAGACATCCGGTACTTTTGTATGTGGTTGGGTTCAGGAGCAGCCCCCCTACCCTTATTTATCATAACTTCACTTTTTTACACAGTAGTATTAATCCAAAGTTACCTTTGCAATGGCACCCACACTCACCTTGCAGCTTTGACTTATTGCCACACAGCCGAAACGGCTGAGGCCAAGCTGCGATTTACTATGGCGGGTGGGGGATGCTCTCCCTCCACGCCTCCAGGCTTACAAAAACACTAAGGGTATGGCAGACAAGACTATGTGCAGTCAGGGTGTACTGATTTTTTTTTTAGTACAGATTCAACCTATCTTGTCTTAAAATCAGGTTGCCCTAAGCCTGGGATTTCCAAACTATATTGGGCAAGAGACCCCTTTTCCGAAATAAAATGTTACTTCAGATCCCCATAGCCAAATTACTTCAAAAATCTAGGTTTTTTTCTGTTGATTCAAAATAGGGTCGTTGCGCTGGTTTTCGGCCTTTTAGTGGAGTTGTCAACTTTAAGGTACTATAAAAAATAATAGCGATTATGTTGACCTAGTGTTGTTAATGTTAATTTATAGCTTATATAATGTAGTTTTCATTTTGATAACTCATTAATGCTATAAAAGAAATCTATTTTTTATAATAAATTTTGATGTGAAAAATATGCTAAACGCTAGTTTTCGGCCCCAAATTTTAGATTTCGGCCTACAAGAATTTTAGTTTTCGGCCACTGTATTAGAAGAGGTACTATAAACTTAAAAGTGTTTTTGTAAAATCAGAAAATGGCAAAACGGTTTGGGAAATCGGTGTATTTAGTTTTCTCAACCGGTGATTGCGATTTTTTAACCGTGACGTTATTTTTTTCTTTTTGGGTGTGTTTTTGATATAAAATAATAACCATGATTAATTATTTCTCTTTGAATCATAATCTAATAATAAAATCTTTTAAATATAGCAATCAAATATTCTCATTTACGAGTATTTTGTACTTCCTTATAAGTATTTTAGTTTAACAAAATCTGTTACCATATCTAACCATTCTCATCTCTAACCAAGAGGAGCCATCTGAAGAAAAAAAATTTCTTTTTGAATCTTCTTCCTAAAACGCAATGTGAATAAAATATTTGATATGATAAGATGAAATGGCCGTAAACGTAAACTAAGACAGCATTCCATTTTCCGCCGCCGTATTCTTTCATACAATTTTAAGTTGGCCGAAAATTAAATTGTATATATTTTAGAGTCAATCCAGTTTTCGGCCACGACTGAAATGGGTATTTTGTATCATCACTAACTGTTCAAATTGCAGTACTTGGTGGCCGAAAACTGAAAGTTAGTGTCTACGCACACTACGATTCAATATAAGTAAGAAAGATGAGTTATAGTACGTAACCAAATAAACGAAAGAGACAAAGTATATAGGCTAAACTCAGGCTACTTTTCGGCCGCATGGCCGACGACCAAATAATGGGACAATTTTATGTGTCACTTTTCAGCCACTTATTTTATTTACTTTATCAATAAATTATTATAAAAATCAGTGTCAAATAACTATATTAGGTTTTTTATACAGTGAAATATAAGCACAATATTAAGTAATTATATTAAATACAGCACGAAACTTACTTTTGAATGGAACGCTCGCCACTATTTTTTTTGCTCGATCTTACCCGTTTTGATAGCTTCAATGTCGGCGTCAAACTAAACTATTTATTATAAATCGCGTGTTGTGTTTACCTGATTAATTAATGCTACCAGATATAGTGAAACTATTTACAAATGCATTAAACTGTATTTCTTACGATAATATTTATTAAAATTGTTATTAAATCAAATTTGCTGCATCAGCTCGTGCCAAAGGCCGAAATCTAGACCCGGCAGGCTTACCGGCGCATCGACCCTACTTACCAATTTTCAAACTTTGTGGTTGGTTAAGTAAGTAAACTTGACATTATTTTCTAATCAAAATTTAATAAAATAAATAGACATAAAATTCAGTAAATCTAGTGTAATTAGTAACTATTAATACAAATTACAGTTACAAATTATCAGTTTTCGTTTCAATTTCGACCCCAAGGGATATCAACCATTTTGGGAATCCTCGCATTAAACCATGCTGTGATAGTGATAAATAAAACAATGTAATGTTAATTGTTATAATTTTTTTATTCTGAAAAACCTCTTGACTTCTATCTTCTGTAACTCAATTTGTTGTGAATGAGTCAAATCTTTAGCCACAAATAGATCGTCTGGGTTCTAGTGATAATTTTTTATTATGGGTGTACCCACATTAAAAAAAAAAGAAATTGACATATTTGCATTTCATTATATGCAATTTTTAGTGAAATTTATTTTTATTGTAATTACCTAATTCAAAATGCATCTCCGAAATCAAAACACATTGTAGAAAATTTAAGCTTAACCCTGGCAAACCTCTTAAAATGAAAACAATTTAAATCAATACGAGACGTCTACTTCATAATACTAGATCAAATTGACATATTTGTGTTTCCTTATATGCAATTTTTAGTGAAATTTACTTTGATCGTAATTAATTCAAAACACATTCCGACATCCAAGAATAGTGTAAGAGGTTCAAGCTTCAATCTGACAAACCTCCTCAACTGAAAATACTTATAATTCAAATCAAGTACCAGACGTCTATAGCCAACCCAAGTAATGTTATATAATATTTACTATCATAGAATTAGTTAATAAATAATCTTTTTTCAATTATTTCCATAGAACACATCATAACCTTGTATGTAGCCTGCCATCACAATTTTCATACATTGTGAATTTTTTTTTATCATATAGGCTATTTTTATTATTTTCAATATTTACTTTCAAAAGTTATGATTAAATACGTTTTTAATATGTTTTATTTTACAGAATGGAACACCAGTACAGCAATTGGCTACAATTTCCACTTCTCATTGTTGGAAAAGTAAACTTCCTCTTATATCACAAACTCAGACCTCATCAAGTGGAAAGAATAAAAATGTACCCCAAGATACCAGAGTATGGAAAGAAACTCCAACACATGATATAAGAAACAACCTTGGTCACTACTGTATGATGCTTTCAAAATTTCGCTTAACTTGTAAGTATTTATTTTCTGTGTTACAGATTATACAGATGTTAAAAAATTATATAATTTATAAAATTTTGTATGAAAATATGTGTAGCACACCATAATGAAAAATTTTGTCATGCTATAGGATTATTTATGTAAAAAAATATTGTCACTTGGAATATTTCATATTGAGGATTTAGGCCTGTAATCAGAGTCAATCTTAAGTTTAAACTTCACTATATAAAAATTTGACTGAAGGCTTTGTTATGCAAATCTTAACATTGTTAAGATTGGGTTCAAACTCAAGATTTTTCTCTATAAATGTTATGTGGATGGAACAGGCTTATACTTAAATATTTACATTGCATTATATTATGTATATACTTTTTCAGCAGATTTATTTAATAATAAAATAAAAGAACATGTTGATCCATAAATTTAGTTTATTATTACTTTATATGGTGATGTTTGATTAATATTTAATTCGTATTATTTTCAGCATTGGTGGTCATGACATCAATGGCCGGATATGCATTGGCACCAGCTCCATTTAACTTCACTACATTTGCACTTTGTGCTGTTGGCACTGGCCTTGTTTCTTCAGCCGCTAATTCTATTAACCAGTATCATGAAGTGCCTTTTGATGCTCAGATGACAAGAACTAAGAACAGAGTTCTTGTAAAGGGGCTTTTAGAGTTAGTATTTTGTTATTGGCTTTTTTCATAATTGTCATGTCCTCCAGACCAAATTTGTCACGGCAACCAGTCTCAGCATAGACCAGCCATCTGCACTAGATAGGATTATAGTGCGTGAGTCTGTGCACAGGCGCAGGTGTATTCTATATTCTCTCACTCTTACTACTTCTAGAGCCTGATAGGATGGCAATCTGACATGACCGCAGAGAGTTCAGGTGCCGGACCAATGGTTTTACATGCTGTTCAAGACATGGGTGAAGTACCACCTACTGTCTTCTTTGTTCTCCAAGCCGCTACTGAGAACTTTTAGCAAAATCCCAATCACTGATTTTGGCTCAACCTGGGTTCCAAGCCTGAGACCACAACATGATTAGCAGTGATGCTTTTGACTGTTAGACCAAAAATACAGAGAGGTTATCTTAGTTCCCATCTGTTTTTATAAAATAAAATTTTCAAACCAACTTATAGACTTGACGGTAAGTGGCTGCTGCAGTTCATAGACACCTGCAGCCAACTTCAAACCAAGAAAGCCACAGATTCATACATACCTCTGTGGACTAAATAAATGGAATTCCTCACAGCCTGTAATTAAAATAACTTTACTTATATTGTTTAATTTGTGCACAGGTTTTTCATTTAGATAACTTTTTTTTTTTTTCATTTTTCAAATTATAATGTCCTCCAGACCGAATTTTGAGGCTGGCCGCCGTGACCGAAATCCACGGCCAACCTCAATGAAGACTAGCCATCAGCGCAGGACAGGATTATAGTGCCCGAGTACCACTCTCACATAATTAATTTATGACTAGCAATCCGTCCCAGCTTAGCACGGATGATATTTGCGTCTTGTTTACAGCGTCATCTACCGAGTTCAATTGTGAATCTAAATCATACAGGGACCCACTCAAATACACTTACAGTATATGTACACGCAGACGCACACACACACACACACACACACACACACACACACACACAAAGCGCCCCGCACACACACACACACACACACACACACACACACACACACACATATATATATATATATATATATATATATATATCAACGTTAATTCAATGGTCATTTATTATTTCATTCTATTACTAATAATCAGTACAGTATCTAACTGACATACTGTTATTTAGATAAGTACATTTACTATAATGCAAAAGGCTTGTGGAAAAGCTCTTCCATTAATCAATTTCTTCAATCATTTGTAGGTACTGTTGTTTTCAATAAATAAAGTAATATTAAAAAACCGATGCAAGGATTTTATCTAGGCTATCAAGGTGCGAGGTATTAAAACCATTTGAATTATGCCGTATTTTTAAAAAGCTTTTTGAAATGCATGTTTTCAGTTCGTAAGATTTATTACTATTTTCACAATTATATTAATCAAAAAGTTCAGAGTCTGCAAGGATGTTTGGACGAAAAACTATTCGTTCATTTGATCAGTTCTAAATAATAATTATAAAACACAATTGCGAATTGTGTCAAAAAAAACCATTAGATCTAATAGCGATCACAATGGCTACAAAAATGTGTTTTTGTAGCTATTGTAACTGTCCCAATTTTAAAATTCCCGATTTTACCTGGACACACTATCGGAAACGATGAACGGCGCAACTGCAAAATAAATAATATTCCGCACAACACAACACAACGAATGATAATTTGTTAAATGGTATTATTTAATTTAATTATTAATAATTTTATAAGTTTGTATAGTATAGTAAGCAATTTACAATTAAAATCATACTATATATAACTAACATAATCCCTATATATATTTGACGACTCCGTGGTGGTGGCTTAGCAATGAGTTTAACTCTAAGGGCCGCGGGTTCTATTCCCGCACGGAAAAAATGTGTATACTTACAAATAATTGTTCCGGGTCTGTATGTTTGTTCTCGTGAAATTTATTTTCTTATGTTTAGTGCCTTAACAATACACCTAGGAAACATTCTTCGTGTGGAGGTAACATTGTTATAAAATAGAAACAAAAACATATGATCCACGGTAGCTCAAAGTTGAAGTGTTCGCCGTAAACGCGATCAAGCCGGGTTCGATTCCTGCCGACACCAATTAAATTGTAATTTTGATGAATTATCTTTACATTATGAATCAGAATTAATGTATATCAAACGAAATCTATTTCATATAATGTACATTTTTCAATTCGAACCATATATTACTTATCCCTTTCTAGTTGTTACCTTGACGTTGTGACATTCCTTAGTCTACTCAATAGAGTAAAAAAGAAAAGCCGACTTCAATTTACTAAAAGAGTAAAATAATTTATATATATTAGCTTCCGATGTCAGGGCTAGGATCAGTTATTAATTCTTATATACACGCTATGTCTTAGCACCGACCTCATAAGCTATTATGTGGAAATTATTTTATTCTTTTAGTTCCAATAGTATCAAGATGATTCGTGCTAGACACTACTGCGCTCGCCCCACCTCGAGCAGTCACGCACACAGAGAACATTGTAGTGTGCTCTCTGTCAGTAAAGCATCAATATTACGCCGTTGCACAGTGATTTAGACTTGCGCAAATTTGAATATACGCTCTTAAGAAGCCTGCTGATGAAATATATTGTAGAAAATATATACGAAATTTTCTTTTGAGAATTGTCTTAATTTATTTCTACCTAATTCTATTTTCCAGACCTGTCCATGCCATTAGTTTCGCAGCAATAACGAGCGCTTCTGGTTTAAGCATATTGTATTTTGGCGTTAATCCTCTAACAGCTGCCCTTGGTGCCGGCAATCTCGTGCTATATACGTCAGTATATACTCCCATGAAAAGGATGTCGATACTTAATACATGGCTCGGTTCTGTTGGTAAGTTATGAAATATTTTTAATGTCCGACCGAAGCTTCTGCTATCTGCGGCTAAAAAAAACTACCTTCGATTTCGGCCAAAATGGGCCGAAATTTTTAGCGAAGTCGAAGGTTTCTAGCAAGCGCCGGAATTGAACTAACTGTTACGACAGAACGAGAGGCGGATGGACGTGGCGATGCAATTTTATTCATCTCTAGATCAACTTTAAGGGATAATTATTCGTACCTTATTATTCAGTCAATATTAACCTTTAAGTTTTTAAATAATTTATATAAATTTATTAGATTAATTTTATCTAATCTTGAACTGGATTTTTCAGGACTATTTACTGTTAGAAAGTACATACATTTAATTTTAATTAAAGATTTATAAAATTATTAGCTAATATCCGTGTGAAAAATAAAAGTAATGGTCTTACCTAGTTTGAAGACCACCTACTTCCCTCAATCCCAGCACCAATACACTAGGCAAAACACACCATGGTTGATAATACCACGTTTTTCGTTTCTGAACTAGGCATTACTCGGACTCTCTGCTAAAGTGGTCAGCAAACAACAAACAAGGTGACACACATTTTATTTCTCATGCGGATATTAGCAACATAATCTTTAGTATTATGAACTTTTGTTTAGAAATGCCAGATTTTATTTATTATATCAAATTTAGTATTTATCAAATTTATGTATAATTAAGTGAAATGTTCACAGTTGGCGCAATACCCCCTTTAATGGGCTGGGCGGGCTGCACGGGTGGTTTGGACGCAGGGGCGTTAGTTCTCGGCGTCGTGCTGTACTCGTGGCAGTTTCCACACTTTAATGCTCTTTCATGGAACTTGCGCCCGGACTACTCGCGCGCCGGTTATAGAATGATGGCAGTTACTGATCCTGGTAAGCATTTATACTTCTACTTCAGCCTGTAAATTCACTATTGAACATAGGCTTGTCACTGCTAAACAGGAAAAGTTTGGCGTAAACTTTTAGTTTTAGTTTAGTACAGTTACTTTCTTTGCTTTTTGTGTATTGGGAGCCTAGACAACCCAAGAGTGTCATGATCGGTAGGGTGTTTTCTTTAAAAAATCAATAATATATGTAATATAATATAAATGATATGAATACTTTTAAATCATGAATAACATAATTTGTTTATTGTTACCGTTACAGCCTAACCTTCCATAGATAACCTCGTAGGGATGATATCTGCCATATTTGCCACGCTTGGCTTTTTTAAGTTATTAGGAAGATGCCGCTGCCCATTATGGTTTTTCCCTTTGTATCCTTATATATACCGTCAATTTATTTAATGCAACAATTATTACGATAGGTGTGCTAGGGATTGATGTAAAAAGTTAGAGAAACAATGGTCTATTACAGTGTAATAAAATGTGTGCTGGGCCCCAAGCATAACTATTTTCGAAAGCAAATCAAATCGTTAGGTTCATGAATATAGACAACAAAGGGAGACCCGCCAACAAAAATTTATATGTCCGATAATGGATAGGGGAGGGTGGAATTAAATTATTGTGTTTTTGTGCACACCCTCCGAAGAATAGCACATTGAGAGGCAGGCTACTCTTTACCTGTGCTCGAGGCCTTTACACCAATTAAAAATTCGTATAATTATCATATATTTGTGTAACGCTGTGATTAGTAGCCAAGTTTAGGAAAGTGGCGGGGAAGTAAACACAACTTTTGTCTGAAGCTGAGACTTTGTTAAACAAAGTCTCGGATTGGGGCCACTGAGTTAAGTTCAGTTCAATCCCCAGAAGACACAAGTTTGCGCGTTTACCGCTAAAATACCCTTTGTCGTATTTCCGCAGAATAAGTAATAGTACCAGAACAGAAGGGTCACTAACTGATAGCAAACTTGTGAGTTTAAACCTAGTTACAATGTCGCTAATGTTCATAATACTCTGTACATCTCGCAATCGACTTTCGTAAAATTGGCCTATCGATTAAATCGTAAAAAAAAATAATCATCATCATCATCAATACAGCCCTTCACAAGTCCACTGCTGAACATAAGCCTCCCCCAAGTAATGCCACAAAGCACGGTCCTGAGCCACCTGCATCCATCGACTTCCTGCATGTCTTACCAGGTCGTCACTCCATCTAGTGGGGGGTCGCCCTACACTACGCCTACCAGTACGAGGCTGCCACTCGAGAACCTTTCTTCCCCAACGGTTATCGGTTCTTCGAGCTATATGGCCGGCCCATTGTCACTTCAGCTTACTAATCCGTTGGGCTATGTCGGTCACTCTGGTTTTACTGCGGATATCCTCATTTCTGAGTCTATCACGCAGTGAAACTCCGAGCATAGCTCTCTCCGTAGCTCGCTGAGCGACCTTGAGCGTCCTCATACGGCCAGCGGTGAAGGACCACGTCTCAGATCCGTAAGTCATCACTGGCAACACGCACTGGTTGTACACTTTAGTTTTCAGAGACTGAGGTATACCTGACGAGAAGATGTGTCGTAATTTCCCGAACGCTGCCCAACCGAGTTGAATCCGTCGATTGACCTCTCGGTCGAAGTTGGACTTACCTAGTCGGACTATTTGTCCCAGGTAAACGTACTCGTCAACAACTTCGAGCATAGTGCTCCCAACAATTACCGGCATAGGTGTGACATGGACATTAAACATGATCTTTGTTTTGTCCATGTTCATCTTAAGACCTATCCATTGGGAGACACCATTGAGGTCATTGAGCATAGTGCTAAGGTCCTCCAGCGATTCTGCCATAAGGACTATATCGTCGGCAAATCGAAGGTGAGTGATGTACTCGCCATTGATGTTAATACCGTATCCTTTCCAGTCCAGTAGCTTGAAAACGTCTTCCAACGCAGCGGTGAAGAGTTTCGGGGATGTAACATCACCTTGTCTTACACCTCTCTGCAGTTGGATAGGTTTCGTACTCTGGTTCTGTACTCGGATAGCCATTGTAGCCCTACTGTACAAACACTTCAGCACTTCAATATACCGACAGTCAACTAGGCACCGCTGAAGAGACTGTAGCACCGCCCAAATTTCGACGGAATCAAAGGCTTTCTCATAGTCCACATACGCCAGGCAAAGTGGCAGATTGTACTCTTCGGACTTCTGTACAATTTGCCTAAGGGTATGTATGTGGTCTATGGTACTGAAGCCTTTTCGGAAACCGGCTTGTTCGGGAGGCTGGAAGTCGTCGAGTCTGCGTGCAAGACGATTCGTAATGACTCTCGAAAACAGCACGTAGACGCGGCTCAGAAGGGAAATCGGTCTGTAGTTCTTTAAACGAGCGTTGTCGCCTTTCTTAAAGAACAAGACCACCGCGCTTCTGTTCCACGCCTCCGGAGTAGTGCCACCATGGAGGACGGAATTGAAGAGCTTCTGAAGGACTTCAAGTACCGGTGTTCCATCCGCTTTCAGAAGCTCCGCTGTAATTCCATCCTCGCCCGGGGCCTTGCCGTTTTTAAGGTGGTGGAGAGCCATTCTAATCTCGCTCAGACTGACGTCCGGGATATCATCGGAATAGTGTCGGATAAGACTTGCTCTTGGATCGTTACTCACACTTGCGTGTGGCTCCAACGATGATGTGTACAGCTGCCCATAGAACCTCTCAATCTCACTCAGAATCTCAGGTGTCCCGGAAACGATATTGCCACACTCAGTCTTCAGCCTTGACAGTTGGCTCTTTCTGGCAGACAGATCTCTGGCAAAGACTTTGGAGCCCTGGTTCCGCTCGATCGCTTCTTTAATACGAGCAGTATTAAAGTTGCGTAAGTCTCGCCGCATGCATTTGGAGATCTGTCTGTTCAGTTGCCTGTATGCTGTCAAATCTGTTGACGATTGCAGCCTCATCTCCCGTCTAACAGCCATGAGATTAAGAGTGTGATCGGAGAGTTTTTGTGTTCTTCTGCGGCCGGTCTTGCAGAACTTAGCTCCGACCGATGTGGACAGTTTCCACGAGCTTGTCATTCATATCGTCCACTGCATTGCAATCCTCTAGGCACTGAAAGCGGTTTTGTAACTCGAGCTGAAAGGTTTCGGGATTCTGGACTTGAGCACGAGGGGGGACGGAGCGTTGACTTCATTAGACGAGACCTCTTCAACTTAACGTTTAGGTTCAGTGTACCTCTAACCATTCGGTGATCGCTGCCAGTTTTCACCTTGCGATCACTGAGACATCACTGAACAGTTGGCGTCTGGTCGGCATAATGAAGTCAATCTCATTTTTTGTCGAACCGTCGGGGCTCGACCAGGTCCACTTCCTGTGGGGCCTCTTCTGGAAGAAAGAGTTCATCATAAAGAGTCCCTCTTTCTCCATAAAGTCGGCCAGCTGCTGGCCCCTTCGGTTTCCGTTGCCCTACTCCAAATTTCCCCACCTTCAGCTCACCGCTTTCTCTTGTGCCCAGTTTTGCGTTGAAGTCTCCCATCAAGACCGTGTAGTGGGTTTTGGAGGAACGCATGGCTCTGGAAATATCCTCATACATTTCCTCCACGTCCTCATCGGGATGTGCCGAGGTTGGTGCATAAACCTGTATGACCTTCAGCGAATACCGTTTGGTGATTCTGAGTATCAGGTACGCGACCCTCGTCGACACACCCCAATATTTACAACGTTGTTGACGAGAGACTTGTGGACGATAAATCCGACACCTCCTTGGGAAAGATGGTCGCCCTCCCGGTGGTAGAACAAGTTGCCGGACTCAAGGATTGCCGTATCTTCCCCCTCTCTTCGGACCTCGGATAATCCAATAATATGCCAGCGCAACTTGTCTACCTCTTCTTCCAGCTCCAGTATCTTCTCGTCAGTCCTCAGGGTGCGTGCGTTATATGTTGCCAGGTCGAGTCGTCGTAGGTGGCAACCGAACCTCCACCGGAGATTCTTAGCACCCCCTGCCCCGCCGTTACCATGGTCGCCACCGTATCCAGGAATAGCGGGGCCGCCGGGGACTGGGGGCCGTTTTTTTGCGTCGTTATTCATGGGGGGATATTTGCCATAGTTGCCACGCTTGGCGAGCGGGTTGGCAACCGCAGTTTTTTATTATAACACAGTTGTTATCAGGAAGATGCTGCTGCCCATCTCCTGCCTGTGTCCCTCTGTCGCCTCTTACGACACCCACGGGAAGATATGGGGTAGTGGATATTCTCAACCGCCACTACACGGCAAAAAAAAAATAATGCGGTGCGCGTATTAAATCAAAATTCACCTTACGTCCGCGTGCGAGTATCTGTATCACTTAGCCCGTTACGCGCCTTTGTTAAGGTTGCTCCTACCGTAGGGGGTTAGGTGTTAGAAAACAAATTGAATCCTTTGATATGGTAGTAGAAATAGTCCCATATAAATTTGATCAAGATCTGACCAGTAGTTTTATCCTTAATAATGCGTATTTAATTAAATTTGATTAATTATGTTCTCATTTTATTTTTTTTAAAGGCACACGCGACATTATTAATGAAAGAGTGGCAATGAGAAGTGCTGCTATTTTCAATCTCTTTCTTTTATCGACAAGTGTTAAACCAAAACCACTATATGCTGATTTTGAATTAGTAGGCAGTCACTAGTACTGGGAGGTCTACTTATACTGAATTTTTTGATCGTTGACATTATACGCGAAAAAATCGAAAACTGCGAAGCTGTGGTCGGATCGCTAATCAAATAAATCTGTAACTATGTATATAGGTACCTAATTATCTACACCTACCCATAAATAATAATATCTTAACTTTCGGTATCCTTAGGAACAGTAAACAATGAAAAGTCGACATTCCTATTGTTATTTAAGCACCCGTATGCTATTCAGTATTTTTTGGCTTTTTGAGAAACCATACTTGAATAAAAACTTTTTACTTATAAGCGAAATTTTTTTTGTTAACGTAAGGCGCGTGTCAGCTCAACGCGTGACAACCTCACTAAATTAGCCCCATGCAGTGGGCTGTGTAGCCTTGGTATATTTTCATGCCTAAAGCACGGAGTGAGAGAGGGCTGGTATTTCCTCGGTTTCAGGGCACTACCTTTGTTGCCTCAGCCATTATCGGAATCCTTGGCGTCAATATGTCGAATGACGTGCAGTTTAGAAATCACTTGGAAGAGAAAGCCACATTGGCCTCTAAAAAACATGGCGTGCTCTGCACAGCGGGACAGTATTTCATACCTGTACTCCGCCTGCAACTTTATAAGACGCATATTAGGCCTCACATGGAATACTGTTTTCATATCTGGGCCAGGGCTCCCTAGTGCCAGCTCCTTCCATTTGATCGCATCCAGCACAGAGTGGTTCGAATGGTCGGCTACCGAGCTCTTTCTGATCGGCTTGACTCACTAGCACTGCGAAGAAATGTTGAATCTCTTTGCGTATTTTATCGCATCTACCACAGGAAGTGTGGTATTCCAGCCGCTGAACTTCACCATCGCAAATCGCCACAAAATACCATCCATCCATCTGGATGATTGGCGGTCCACTACTCTGCGATTTACAAGAAGTTTTTTCCTCGGACAACTTTTTCGATTTTCCCGGAACGATACGACTTCAAGAACAGAGCCGCCTACACTTTTTTAAAAGGCCGACAACGCACCTGCGATTCCCCTGGAGTTGCGGTTGTTCATGGGCGTGCGGTCGACACTTATCATCAGATGCCGAATGCTCCATTGCCCCCTCTTCAAAAAAAAACTTGCTCTGAAGATTTTCAAGAGATAAGAAAGAAGTATATCGAAACATCTCTATAGTTGGATGGAAATAATTTAGCTTAGTAAACAGCAAAATGGACAAGTTAATATCGATTAACAACCCAACTACTTTAGTTGTAAGTAAGTAAAGTATCATTAAAAATTGTCCGGTAATGAATACTGTAAGAGAAATAATACCATGTAAAAATCGCCTAATTAAACCGTGCATAACGTTAGGTATATTGCGGTGTATCCGAAATAGAAATGACATGCAAAAAAAGCTACGAAAGGATCCGGAAAACGAAGTTTTAAAACATAATATAGAAGATATCGCAGTTATTGTAATAACTTAATAAAAAACTTAAACGTAAATATGAGAGAACTTTCTAAGTGTAAAAGAGATCCTAAGGTACTATGGAAAACCATTAGCAATTTAACACAGCGAAATAAAAATAAAATGCAAAACAATAAACTTTTAGAGATAAAATCATCTCCTCAAGAATCGACCAATCACGTGAACCACTATTTTGCAAATATTGGTAGAACGCTCTCTGAAAACATCACTTTAAAGTACTCACAACTGCATAATGTTAGTGTACCACTTCTCTCTCAAGCCGCATCGTTTGTACTTTTAGAAACCGATTCAAAAGAGATAGGTGCTTTACTGACGAATCTTAAATCTGAGTGTACCGCGGGGTGGGATGACATACCAACAAGATTCTTAAAACTCGCTAAGGAACATGTAGCTCCCGTGATAGCTCATTTGGCAAATCTTTGCTATAGTCAGGGCATTTTCCCAACAGCCCTAAAGCGAGCAATTATTACACCAGTATATAAGTCTGGTGACATGGAAGATACATCAAACTATAGACCTATCTCTGTTTTGCCAGTCATCTCAAAAATCCTAGAAAAACTTAATTAATCGGCTAATATCTTACTTGAATACATACAAGCTGCTTCCTGACCATCAATTCGGATTTAGAAAAGGGGTTTCTACCGAAGATGCTGTAATTAAATTGACTTCTCTTATCGTTGACAATGTGGATAAAGGTAACAAATGCTTAACTGTATTTTTAGACTTGAAAAAAGCCTTCGATACCGTGTCGGTACCTACTTTAGTACGAAGGCTCAAAAACACAGGTATAAGAGGAATCCCTTTAAAACTCTTTGTTGATTATCTCACTGGGCGTGATCTATGCGTTAAAATTGGGCCCCTATGTGAGTGAGAACCGTGACGTGACTTGGCGTTCCCCAGGGTAGCGTACTTGGTCCAACCCTATTCTTAATATATATTAACAATCTATGTTGTATGAAAATCAGAGGTGGACAGATATTTTCTTACGCGGATGACACAGCTGTTGTCTTTACGGGGCGGACTTGGGATGATGTACTTTTAGTAACAGAGAGAGGTCTTGCCGAGATAGGCAGTTGGTTAAATAATAATCTCTTAACTCTCAATACCACCAAAACTAATGACATAACTTTTTCAAATAATAATTCACAACCGGAAACAAACTTTGAAATCAAAATACACACATGTTCTGAATTTTCCAACCCTGATTGTACTTGTAACAAAATATCAAAAGACCAGCGTCTATCCTGGCATGCACGTCTTGTACTGATGACTAGGATGCGGAAACTTATATGGATTATTAAAGCTCTTAGACATATAACAGATAAGACCTTACTGAGTCAAATATATGTTTCATTAGCTCAATCCATTTTGACATACTGTGTCCCAGTTTGGGGTGGGACCACTAAAATCAAGTTCCTGGAACTAGAAAGAGTACAGAGATTATTATTAAAAGTGATGCACTTTAAGCCCTACAGATTCCCTACTAAAGAGCTATACACCCTATGTGACCACCTTTCAGTCAGGAAGCTGTATATCCTTAACTCTGTATTAATATTGCACAAGACGCTGATATATAACCCCAAAAATTGCGATAGAAGAAGAGGACATGCTGTGGCACCAGTAGTACCCATGAAAACTAAATTTGCTAGGAGGCAATTTAGAAGTCTGTATGCTCATCTCTATAACTATACTAATAAAAAACTTACCATATATGCAACGACCAAGCATAATGTGTAAAAACAAGTTACAGCGTGGTGAAAGACGATAGAGTATGAAGAAACTGAAAATTTATTGAAATAAATAGAAAATTACACCATAGCATAAATACTTTCCGCAATACACGCATATACACACACAAACGCGCGCGCACGCACGCACGCACTACACGCATTCATCACATATACACATACGCATGCGTGCGCGCGCGCGCGCGATCTCACGTACTCAATTTATTCTTTACGTATGCGTAATTTTATACGTATCTAAAATTGTTACGGAAGAGCGGGGTCCCCTAACACAGGTATTGATATACTTAAAAGGAGACCCCAGCCTAGTTAATGTATTTAAATTTAAGATACTGAATTAAGAATTTTTCCATCCTTACCACTAGTTTTAAATGGTTTAAGGAAGTCAACAGCCCACTGTACCAGATTTGGCCTTGTCTTTGCAGTCCTATACCAGGAAATGGGTTGACACTAGTAACTCCCATGTTTGTTGAGCTTTTTAAGAAGTCCAATGTGACCAGGTTTAGCTTTCAATAGCATTTTGTGCAGTCTTGCACTGCGAAGCAAAGGCTAAGGCAAAGGCACTATTGGGTTATTCCGTTTATCGACACTAGGGTGGGCTCGAAAACGCGTGTTCATCTATCCACCCAGACGGTGGATAATCAGAATTCGTATATATAAGTTTTATTCCGATTTTCTCCCTCGACTGTGTACAGGTATTTATAGAAACATGATAAAAACTGGCACAAGACTGGAAAGATCAACGCTAAAGTATAGGAATACCTTACAGGATCACAGATTCATTGGAATCTTGAAATTAAATATTTTAAAATATAGTTAAAGAAAAACATCCAATAGTAACGTTTTTGGAACGCTTGCAAAAAATGCACAGTTCTTCGCTTAACACATATGTTGTACCAAAAAAAAATTAGAAAACTGTTGCAAATGTACGTTAAAAGTCACGAATTTATCCAGGATATCGAATTACGTCTACTCAATAATGAAATTCGTGTTGGTATCTAAGTGTATGTGTTGAACTGTTCTTGGGGCAAAGTCAGAAAAACAAATAAAAGTAAATTACAATTATAGACGAACACGCGTATGCACCTCAGGGTAGATTTTTTGGGTGGATAAACGAAATAACCCTATTACTTGTAATTCTATGACTTTAATCATTAAAAATTAATATTTCAGCTCTATGTAGAAGAGTTGCACTAAGGCACACGGGTATAATAACAGCAACTTGCCTCACCTCTTCATACTTAGATGTGACCAATCTGTGGTTTGCATTGGAATCTTTGCCATTGAATTTATATTTTATGTACTTAGGTAAGTTCAAAACATTTTTAAAATCATTTTTATACAAAGTTATATAATAAATATTCCTATTTATTATTGTTACTTTAATTTCAGCATGGCAATTCTACAAGAAATCAGACAGTGGCAGTTCGAGAAAACTTTTTAAATTCTCTCTCATACATTTACCCGCATTGATGTTACTAATGCTAGTCAATAAAAAGTATTGGAGTTCGAGCGAGACACGAGAGCACAAAGATGTGTTGAAGTCACAAGACGTTAACAAGTTACCAGAATCAAAGAGGATAACAGTATTGCCACGAGGTCCAGTCGTCGCCGCGCAGGAAACGGACTTACGATAAAATTGATCACTTAATAACTACAAATTCGTAGACGCCAGTTATTTATATGTAAATAGTGTCACATTTTAATTTTGCTAATAATTTAGCTTGTGATATAATAATAAATCAAACATTCACGAAAATGTTACTACTAGTTAATTTATTTTGTTATCATATTGACTTAATACTAGGAGTAAAATGAATTAAAAGAATTATAGTAAATCTTATATTTATTTTGTTATTTTATTGATATAATTTAAATTACAAATAATGATGGAATAAGTAAATCTACATTACATACAAAAATCAGACAACTCGTTTTGAACATGGAAACAGACTGAATGTGGGTTTAAAATGGGGGCTGTTAATAAATTTAAGTAAAATATAACTAACTCATTGACAACTGAAAAACCCGTTTCTTCGAAAACAATGAGATTGATCTCCATTGGTTAATTATTTCCTGAAACAAAGAAATTATGCATAAATCAATTATTGATGTTCCTTCCATTCAAATAATAAAAATATTAAAATCCGTTGACATGTATTGGAGCAGCGCGGTGGACTAACCACTCCATAATCTGATCATCTTAAAATACGAGGATGGAGTCCTGCATTGACACATTATAAATATATATTGTCTGTAACTTTACTAATAATACATTAGAAAAAATTGCGGTTAAACTGAATAGAGGACATACACATAGCAGTTAAGCAACATACACACTCCGGTTTACCTGTACAGGTAAACCTGTCAGATGAAGCCTAGCATGTATGGCCATCATTACACCGTCACTACATTAAAACTGACCTCACCATACATTAACGAATGTATACTCACATTGATAACCTCTTCCTATTTTATGTATTTTAAAAGTAGTTTACAATGCACTGATTCAATATTACTTGACACAAGTATGTTTGTCCAAGCAGAAAATGTGCCTTATGTGACAGTTATTAACCCGCCGTTGGTCGCGTGGGGCGAATAAACGCCCATCAAAAAGTTTATTTTCTTAATATTTAAAATACTGTTATTATCGCATCCAAACTCTAGCTACCTTCCTATAACGACTAAATACGCGACACAAACAAGTGACCATTCAGTATGCGCCGTGCACTTGAACGCTACGGACGTATTTTTCGTGAACGGGTGTCAGTTGACCCCACGCGACCAACGACGTTATAAAAGTGCAATTATTATTAGAAGTACAAAATGAGTTTGTCACAAGAGGAACGTATTAGAAACTGGTTGGAAGAAGATTCAGATGAAGATGTAATTGGTGGGGAAGATGATGAAGAAGGTGGTGATGAAATAGAGCCCCAAATAAGTGAGCACGAAACTGATACAGAAGAAGAATGCGATTCAGAACCAGAAGCTATTACGGAAAATCAGAACATTGATTCAAGTAGCGAATGATGACGTTCCCTTGTCTCAGTTGCAAACTTCACAGTGTTACGTGGTGCACAGAAAATTAAGAAATGGTAGGACTGAAGTAATTTACAGATGGAGGAAGCAACCGCCGCCACCAACATGTCGCACCCGCAGTCAGAACATCGTGACCCATTTGCCAGGACCTAAAGCCATATGTAGAGGAGCAGATACTGCTGAAAAAGCCTGGATATTGCTATTTTCAAAAGAATGGTTAGAAAAGGTTGTTCTTTACACTAATCAGAAAATACAATCGCAAAAATTTAATTATCAAAGAGATAGAGACTCATCTGAAACAGACATGATTGAAATAAGAGCTTTGATAGGTTTATTATATCTCATTGGTCTATACAAATCATCACACGTACGCATCTCGGATGTTTTCAACCCAGATGGGAATGGATTGGATATTTGTAGAGCTGTAATGTCGGTACAAAGATTTAAATTTCTCTTGCGCAATCTCAGATTCGATGACAGGAATACCCGTGACGAGCGAAGGATCGAAGATAAATTAGCGCCCATAAGAGAAATGTTTGAAGAGTTTGTACAGGCTTGTCAACGGTGTTATACTGTTGGTGAGTACGTAACACTGGACGAAATGTTAGAAGCTTTTAAGGGAAAGTGTAGTTTCAGGCAATACATGCCTAAAAACCCGCAAAATATGGCCTAAAAATACAGGCATTGGTTGATGCTCGTTTATTTTATACCCTGAATTTAGAGGTGTATGTGGGAGTTCAACCTGCAGGGCTGTATGCTGTTGACAATTCTACGATGGCTATCACAAAGCGAATGATTCAACCAATATCTGGAACGGGTCGCAATATCACCATGGATAATTGGTACACTAGTGTTCCACTAGCTGAAGATTTGGTGATGCAGCACAATTTCACTATTGTTGGAACAATAAAAAAAATAAACTAGAAATACCTAGCGATTTCAAGAAAAAGTGGCGAGTGGTTTATTCTTCTTTGTTTGGATTAGGCAAGCATGATAGTACCTTAGTATCATATTGTCCAAAGAAGAATAAAGTAGTTCTCTATTTCAACTATGCATAATAATGCTTCAGCAAAACCGGAAAAATTACCAGAAATTATATCATTTTACAACAATACAAAAGGAGGGGTTGACGTTGTGGATCGCCTGAAGTTGAATTACTCCGTTGCACGTACTTGTTATAGATGGCCACTGCGTCTATTTTTTACTTTACTCGATATTGGAGTTGTGAATTCGCATATCATATTCGATGGCCTAAACCCTAACACGAGTCTTACGCAGAGGAATTTTATAAAGTCGTTAGCTTATTCATTATTCGAAACTCAACTAAAGTGCCGAAGCACGACGAAAAATTTGCCCCGAGAATTATCTAACACAATAATGCGCTTTGTAACAACTCAAGTTCAAGAAATAGAGGAAGATGAAGAAGAAACGCAACCGAAGAAGAGACGATGTATACACTGCCCACGCCAAATGGACAGAAAATATTTTACACTATGCTACAAGTGTAAAAAAAATGTATGCCCTAGGCACTGCAAAAATATTTGTGAAGAATGTATCTGAACATCTTATTGTAACAGTCAGCATGTTTTTTTTTACTAGTTATAATGATCTCATATCATTATCTACTTTATGAAGATTAAACTTTGTGAGAAAAAAGTTTTTCTTGATATAATTTTAACCTCTAATAATAATTTTTATTATAGATTCCCATAAAAATGTATCTCAGCATTGTTAGCATACAAATTGTAAATTTCAGCTTATGGTTTTATGTATTTTTTATTGTAAGTTACAGGTTTTTTGATCTCGTATAGTTGTCTACTTTATGAAGATTTAATTTTGGTAGAAGAAAAGTTTTTGTTGATTTATTTTTTATTTTTAAGAATTTTTATTATAGATTCCTATAAAAAAACGTGCCCAAAAGCTTCTGTGCTGTTTTAATAGTTAAAAAAAATATAAATAAACACTTCTTAAATTAATATACGTGATTTTTATTTCTTTATACTCTAAACTATTTACTAAATCCTAAATTAATTATAAAAAAAGCCATAGATTTTATAAATATCATGTTTATTTTTGGGGATACCTGCTGACCCCACGTGACCAACCCTGTTACAAAAATTGAGCGCGACCAACGGCGGGTTAAAGCTTATTTCACATGGGAATATTGAACTTACTTAGCTTTTTTGGGACTGCGATCGTGATCTCGACTGTCGTCCCGGGAACGCTTGTGAGATTTGCTGTCACTGGAGTGGTGCTTCTTATGGTCTCCATTAGACTTGCTGTGCGATGACTTGTGGTCTCTGTCGTTGTGCGATGACTTGTGGTGCTTGTCACGGTTCTTCGAGGGACTGTCAATATAATGAAATTATAGTTAAAAATTACATCCACGTAATTAGGCTAGATCCTATAATTAACATAGGGCTAGTTGACCGATGAATATGTGATAATGACACAACTTTGCAAATTTATGTTAAGTTACAGCTATCTTCACGCAAATTTAAACTTAAAGGAATCAAGAAATTAGAGTTTACACCTTTTATTCTATCCTTTCTAATTATGATTATAAATTAAACAGATACTAGCTTGCCAGGCAGACGTTGTTCTGCCCTTTTCGACGACCCTTTGTCATGTTCTATTAAAAATCCTTAAATTCGCAAAAAAAATTGTGGGTCACTCATCGGCAAAAAAACTATCCTATCTCTCAAGTTGGACCAAACTGCACACGGTGTGCAAATTTGATTAAAATCTGTTAAGTAGTTTAGGAGTCCATCGCGGACAAACAACGTGACACGTAATTTATATATATTAAGATTATGACAATGAGTTTAATAAAGTACATCTTTTTGAAGTAAAACTTCTTTACGCACGCTTGACTTGGGGAGTAAGCTCGCGAACGCGTGAAGAAAGCGTTACGAAGTGTGATCGGGCGAGGTGAACGATAGCTTAGTGATATACGCAAGAAAGAGCACTGCGCACGCACATTTTCTTTCTCTCCCTCTCATAGCCAGTAAATGAAATATGTATATATTTCAGTCAGTACTTAGTTTGCGAGTTTACTACCGTTACGCAAACGGTGATTCTTTGGTGGTTTTTCGTAATTTTATTTCGTTTTGAACAATTTTATGAATTAAGATTTTGTTCATTCCCTTTAAATGTTCTACATTTAAATTGAATGAAATTGTAAATTCATTTTAAAGTTCATGTTTTGTGAATGTCAGGTGAATAATAACAAATTACGGAGGGAAGCCGACAGTAAATTTAAATATTTGTAGAAAATCGTGTGGTCATAAGCACACTCGTTTTTTTTTACACTGTGCTCTTATATATTTTAGGTAATTTTTCTATTTATTTTTACATAAAATGGGTTCAGATGCAATGTAATATAAAATTTAAAGCATACCTGCTACTACTGTGTTTAGAAGGACTTTTATGGCTAGAACTCTTGTGGTTAGAACTGGAGCTTTTGTGACTTGAGCTCTTATGGTGGCTGGAGCTCTTGTCGTGTTTGCTTTTCTTACTGCGGCCCTCGTCGGCGTCGGTATCGAATGAGCGCGGTCGGTCGCGACCGCCTTTTCTTTTCCGATCGAAGTCTTCGCGGTCGTAGTTGCGCTCTTTCTTGTCCTCCTCGGCCGCTTCACGTTCAAGATCAGACCAGTCTTTACCGGACTCTTCATCTTCCTCTATGAATAGAGAGAGAAGATAGTAATTTTACAAACCCTCTATTCAATAAAATTACAGTGTATGACTTTTTGACGAAATAAAATTAGTTAGGAAGGACCTTTATATTTATATCAATTGCTAAATTCAGTGATCTGTCTCTCTCTTTAAACACCTGAGAATTGTTTTTAATTTTTAATATCATAGATTATATATTATCGTTTATCACATCCTTTTACTAACTTTACACTATCCTATAAAACCTAAACTAATTTTGGCCAAAAATAATTATTTCAAAGACGTATAAATGTTTCAAACGATACTTTTTAAACCTGTAAACAAGAAGACTAGCAAGCAAAACTTATCGGAAATTCATAATGTCCACTGCATTGAAATGTACGAATTCAGTAATGCCATGTTTTGCATAATTTTATTGTTAAAAGTATATTTTATTTATGGCTTAAATCTACTTGTATAGTGTTATTTTTTTAAACACTGTAGATTTATTTCCAATTAAGCAAATAGAAAGCTTGATAAAATGGTTTTAGAATCAAACGAAGAAACATTACATTTCATCGGCGCATTTCACTTTACTTTGGTTGTCAGTTCCTCTAAAATAAGTCCAAACATTATATCTTCTGCCATTTATTTATATCATATAATTATCAATTTTCACTAAGAATAATATAACGAAATACTTTTTTTCTCACAAAAATAGTCAAAACATAAGCATACATCGTCTAGTACTGAGCAAATGCTCATTTAAAAATTTCAAAGCGGCATTTGCTCAGTACTAGACGATGCAATAACATGTCAGGTGTGGCGGGGAAGCGAGGGCAGGGGTCCTGCGCTAATCCCGCGCGCTTTATGGTAACAAGTTTCGACATAATATATTGGTTAGGTACCGAGGTGATCCTGCCGAATAATGTTCGTCCGAATATTCAGTTCAGTAAAAGTTTTACCGAACTTGCGGCCGAATATTCGTATTCGGTGAAATCCAAATTCGGCCCATCTCTAGAAATAAGTCGCCTGAAGGAATGCCTTAATTGAATAAGCATGTTGCGTAAACGTTCATACAGCACAAGCATCGATTATTCGTCTGACGCTGCGAAAATAAGTGGCCAGCACAGTAAAGAAGTCAAGTACTGTAGGGCGGAAAATTAATATTGTTGAGTCAAATGGTGCCGGTCAGCAAAAAGGAAACGGCGCGTTGCGTCAGCGTTGCGTTGACGTAGCGCTGTCACTGCGTCGTTTTACATACTAATAAATAACGCGCACACAACTGACTGAAAGTCCCCGAGACGAAGGGAAAGTGGGTGTACTGGTTCCGATGCCGGAGCGGCAGCGCTCAGTTGTTTGTGCGTTGATAGTACGCATGTTAATTTCGGTTTTTATTTGAGAATAATTTGCAGAGTAAAAAGAGTACCATTAAAGAAATTGATATATATTAGTTCATTTCATTAATTCAGGAAATTTTCAAATATATAATTACTTGATAACGACTCTCTAAACTTTAATGACTGATATGATAATTTTTGATTATAAACATTATAAAATAAACAGACAAAAAATTATAACATTTTAATTGGCTCTAATGGATTCCTCATATTAGTATAGTTTTTCTGTACCTTTGGCTCTAAGGGCTTCAATAAATATTCAGAGTTGGACACACTCATTCTAAAAAAATTATAAAACTTCTTTTCGTCTAACAGCAACTCCTGATATTCTAACAAAAAACTGTCCATCACTATTTATAAATGAAATTAAGGAACAGATCTAATACCGTCTTGTGATTTTGCGTCGCTTTCGGCGGTGACGTAGTATTATGAGCAGTGCCAGAGATCTTTTTCGATCCATGTTTTCGAATTAACTGCGATGATTTTATAAAATACTCACCGCAACTGCGCGTCGCCGCTGCGACGACGCAACGCAACGCAACGCGCCGTGTGAACTCGCTCTAAAAAGTCTGACTATGAACACATTTATTCACATTAATGAGGATACTAGTACCTTTTCTTGTATCAGAAATACCCGACCTCATGATAATATTACAATTGATAAAGTCCCCAGACCAGATATTTTTTGAATTAAACAGCACTACTTTATAAGAGTGCAAACTCGCTATTGCTAGAAACCAGAACAAAAAAGTTGACTGCCTCATGATTTGCCAGGTGCTTTCCTTGTTATGCGAATATTGTATGCCTATGATTTAACCAATGTGCCATCTTTAAAAAAATGGCAAGAAAAACTAGCATAAATAATTCCGAGAATTAGTAAGGGCTTTAAATGTTATTATAAAAGACTGCATTACATAAAATCACGAATATCTGGGTGCTACTCTACTCCAGACAGCAAATATGAACCCAGTACTATAGAAGCAGTGTCCATCATCCGATTATAATATGGAACCCGAAGAAGCAATCAAACTGTGAAATTGACTTTCGGCTGTATAAATCTGACGTTTTCACTACCAACACGAAAAGCAAATCTTACTGTTAAGTTCACGGCCAACTGTATATGCCATGTGGATTGGCAACGGTAAAACAATATACGAATGCATAAAAAGAGACGACGAATTTTGTCTTTTTTATAGGGACCTTTTGTTTTCTACAAGTGCTTACTTTCGAACTAGTTGACCAGTAAAACATATTGTTTCGAGCTTAGGGTTCGTGACAATAAAAACTGCCGATTGAATTACCAAAATTGACACTTTAAATTCCGAACACCAATTAAAACTAATACACACTAATTAATCACACTTAACACTTTAGTTCACTTTATTTCGCTCCTAAGTCTTCACTCGTATCGCCAATTAAATACTGCTCCGGTCGCGGCCCCTATATATAGGCCTTTTCCACGGAAACATCCAGTATGTTCCAGCAAATACCGGTTCCAACCGACTAGATGTAGAATATTCGAGTGTGGACTTTTCTGGAAAGCTTAATTCCTCTATAACCCTAAAAAAGACCTCCTATTCGTAATTTAGCTCTCTACTATTTTACTTATTAAAAATAAACTGCTCTAACGATAAACTCTACTTATTTCTTTTTCATCCAAAATTAAATACTAGATGGCGCTGTTGGTGAAAAGTTCAGGCATGGCATTTTCTAGAAAGCTCTCCTCGCTCTGTTCCCCGACATTAGATGGCGCTAGGGGCATCAATTATGGTGTGGCGACGCTGTCGTCGCGCCACAAGCGAAATATATCGAAGCCTAAATCGCGCAATCAAAGTTCCGAACCATGAACAGTATATACAACTTGCAACACTCCTAAGACATGCTCGTCCCGAGCATTATCTGCCCCATAATAACGCGCCAGTCGATCCACATGGACGATTTTAGGAGTACCTCTTGCACCTTTCTGTATCCGGTAAGTTACGTCATTTATCCTTGTCACAATCCGGTACGGTCCTTCCCATTTAGCTTGAAGCTTAGGCGATTCCCCTTTGCTGTGGACTGAATGGCGCAACCACACAAGTGAACCTTCATCAAACCCCTTGTTGTTCATGTTGCTGTCATACCGGGTTTTCATCTTTTCGGACATTTGCTGGCCCGATTGTCTCACGTGCTCATAAATGTCACTCATTTTGTTCCGCAAGTTATTTGCATAATCGGTAATACTGCATGTACTGCATGTCAGGTGGTATCCCGGTGATCAGGTCTGCAGGCAGTCGTAGTTCTCTTCCAAAATTTGCAAAAGCTGGTGTCACTGATGTACTTTCGTGAACAGCGCTTCGATATGACAACAAAAACGGTGGTATGTGCTTGTCCCAATCTCGTTGCCGATTGTCTACAACTTTTACTAGGTACCTCTCCAATGTCTGATTAAATCGTTCTACCATTCCATCAGATTGCGGGTGGTAAGAAGTCGTTTTTATTAGCACCCATAACTCGGCAATTTTCCTGGAATATTTGAGACTCAAATCTGTGAATCTCTAAAGGTACTCCAAAACGATAGAAGACTTCATGAACTAGTTTATCTGCAACTGTTAAAGCTTCTTGATTTGGAATAGCGAAAACTTCTGGCCACTTAGTGAAGTAATCCATCACAACCATGAAATACTTGTTACTACTTTCATTTTCCGGAAACGGCCCCGCCACGTCAATGGCTATTCTCTCCTATGGTGCACCAACATTGTACAATTTCAATGCACCTCTACTACGAGTCTTAGGTCCCTTTACAGCCGCACAACTTGCACATTTGCGATACCAGTCCTCAACATCATTTCGACAGTGGACCCAGTAAAAACTGCCGATTGAATTGCCAAAATTGACACTTTAATTTCCGAACACCAATTAAAAGTAATACACACTAATAATTAATCACACTTAACACCTTAATTCACTTTATTTCGCTCCTAAGTCTTCACTCGTATCGCCAATTCAACACTACTCCGGTCGCGGCCACCAAACGGCCTTATAGAGGCCTTTTCCGCCGAGACATCCAGAATGTTCCAGCAAATACCGGTCCCGACCAACTAGATGTAGAATATTCGAGTGTGAACTTTTCTAGAAAGCTTAATTCCTATTAGATACTAGATGGCGCAATTGGTGGAAAGTTCAGACATGGAATTTTCTGGAAAGCTTTCCTCGCTCTGCTCCCCGACACTAGATGGCGCTAGGGGTATCAATTTTGGCTTGCAATAATATTGACTATAAAATAATGTGTAAAAGCGTACATTTACCTGTTTTATTAAACTTTGCCCAGTACAATACTATGCATTACCATTTTTTGATTAGTGACCTGAATAGTTTATTTTATTTAATATATTACGTTACGGTTTTAATTAAAATTTGTTTTGTATTAAATCTAATTTCATCATAATATGTCCCATCAGTATATTTCATCTGTCATCCTGAATGTCTGTCTTTAGTTGAGAACCTTTACCCAGGTAATTCGTAGTGAAAATTAAGTAAACTTATAAATAGAAAAAAGATTGATCACGCATGTTACAATCAGTAAATGTACGGTAATAAGACCACACGTGCATTGTCGCGTGCCGGTGCGGCATCGTGTACAAAACTATTTTGTAAAAATACTGTACTTGCACACCACTCTTAAGTTCACAAATAATAAGAACATTATTATCATCATCAAACGCGATTACAAAGTTTCTCATCAACTTCATACAATACTAGTAAAATTAATAATACCTCAAGTATCCTCATACCTCATACCAACGAAGAAAGAAAAACGGAGAGCTGCATACATTTCAAGTGATGCAAAAACCAAGCCTATACCAGGTGAGCACCTTATTGTAACAAGACGCATTCACGTACATGTATGCATTTAAAATTATTTGCAATTATTAATATGCTTTAAGGTGCATTTATGTGCATACTTTTACAGTTATAAAGAAATAATGAAGAAAGACGTGTGTTGTATAGGTGCTGTGTTATATACGAGGTCCTGTCATAAAGTTGAGCATGGTTTCTGCTTCACTTGAAGCCTTTCTTCTTTTTTTGGTCTGAGCAAGTATCACACTAAACTTGATACTGAGCAAGTATCAAGTTTGGTGTGATACTTGCTCAGATCAGCGTGCGTAAGTTGGTTTTCAATTCGAATACCTAAATTAGAGAACGTCAAAAATTTAACTTCCTCCTAAAGTAAGATTGTGATCAATTCAAGTCATTCATTAATTAATTCATAGCATAAATTTCGACAGTAATTTTAGGTGCACTACTTATCAATATTTCACAAAAGGACTTTTTGGTGGTTTTATGGTTAACACATTAATGAATTGGTAAAAACCACAACAATGATTTCCCACTGATGTGATATATCTTGACTATGAAAATGATTTTGACCATGTTCCATCTTTAGTATCCGCTGGAAATTGTTGGCCTAGATCAGTGATCTTCTGCCAGACAGAACATTCTGTGTACGCGTTGGAAATATGTCTAAGCCCAGGGAAGTACTCAGCGGAGTTCCGCAGGGATCTGTTCTTGGACCATTGATATTTATCGGATTTGAAAATCACGTTATAGCTACCATTCTCATTATTTACCGACGACACACCATTTTTTGAGGAGCTTATTACGACTAGTGATTGGCTCTTAATACTGAACGCAGATAAGTGTACGATTCTACATATAGGGAAAAATAAAACACGAATTATTTAATATTATGTAGGTGATCACCCATTGTCTTCTACAGAATCACAAAAAAAAAACCTTGGCATTACTATAACTAGTCACATCAAATAGAAACTCATATCCATAGTAAAACAAGGCAAACTATATAATTCGAAAAAGCTCTATGTGTCTCTTTCTTAAAACATTTATCAAGACCTACCAAATATACTTAAGATCTCTGTTGGAGTTTGCATTTGTGATATAATACTACTGGATAATGTCCAAAAGAAGGCTACAAAAATGGTAAAACAACTGCAAAACATGACACTAGAGTGTCATAGACACAGGTAGTTTCACTGAAATATACAAAATACTGACAGGATATTACGATGTACTTGGTGAATAGCAAAAAACGTCTAAGAGGAGATCAACTTAAACTCTGCGATATAGTTGCCAAGCGGAATCCCATTAAGAATTTTAGTACAAATCGTGTTGTCACTAACTGGAATAAGCTTTCGTAAAATTTGATTGATGCTAACAGATTGGATAAAATCTCTAAACCTTAAGATGCACACGCATCAGCTTTTTAGCTGTTAGTGTGTTTATATATTAATAATAATAATCATCTGCAAAAAATGTTGCACAGTTTTTTTTACATCTGAGAGAATTTTATGATGCCTTCAGGGACAACCACTGGTTTAGAACCACTATTCTAGATGCATGATATACTTTACCTTCACTATCACCAGAGCCTTCAGACGCATCAGACGCTTCCGAATCGTATTCAGAATCATCTTCTGACTCCTCTTCAGACTCAACATCTGTCGGTTCATAAGCATCATCCTCTTCTTCAGATTCTTCATCCTGAAAAATATGTATTGAATTTAACTTGCATTGATGCTATTTTTAAATGCTTTGCTCAAAGTGATGTTTAACATGATGGATGATAATGTCAGACGGATTCTCTTATGCTGCTAGTGGCTTCTACATGGCTAATATATAAAAATGGATAATCTATTTTTACATAATGTGAACATACCTGGGCCGCGTCTTCAGCGTCAGATTCGGGATCCAAAAATGACCAACCACCATTATCGAAAAAGCCTTCGATGTCGTCGGTGATTGTTTTCATAACTTTTGTCCAATTAAGAGATTGTATACCTTCAGAGTAGCGAATATCACATGAGCTGTAATTAACAATAATCAAAATCAAACACGCGCAGAAAAGTTAGTAATAGAATCAGAATTTTATTACTCATAATACTATTGAAGCATTATTTAGCATTTTTTAATTAAAAAACATAACACTATGATTTTCAACTATTTTGTGGAGGTATTTTACATAACATAAATTGAGTAGTCGACACTACCAAAAGTAGTGTCTTAAAACTTTTGAAAACAGATTGAAACAGACATTCGGAGATCAGTGTGGACTTTGAACTTGCGGCTCTACAGCACCAACAACAAACTGTACTGCAAAAGCATTAATTATGTTTAACTTCAAATCACACATATTATGCTAATTCCTGCTTCTCCTACAAATAGGGCCATGAACTCTCTTTTTGACTTTGCTTAAATAAAAATGTGGTTGAATCCCACACCCTTATAATGTTTGTTATCATATTTCTATTCACATTTCCACTAAAACTTTTTATTCGTTATTTCTCTCCAGTTGGGGACTTTTAAAAAAAATGGTCAAACAAAAATGCAGCTCATTTGATGGTTCTGAACCTTGTCGAAGTTAATAATTGAAAATGACAGTACTAGGAGTAGGATTACTATTATTTTATTCTTATTATTAGGATTAGGAGGAAACTTAGCACAGTTGCGTTATAAATTCCAATACGTTAGAAGACCGACTTCGTTCTTGTTCGAAATATCCTGTCAACTACTAGAGTTATTTTGATATAAATGACTTTTCAGTCATTATAACAATTTGTCAACACAATAACATTGAATAAGGAGAAAAAATAAAAGAGGAAAATAATCATACAAATCACAAACAAAAATCCACGACAAATAATACGTCTATTATTTCGCAAGTTATGACGTTAGTTTGCCGACGCTACGGGCTGGCGGCGCTGGCGGGCGCCCATCGCATGCTTCAGTTTTAAAAGAACATAATTATCCTATTCTGTACGCGCATGGATTTTAAAGACCTCGTTATATAATTACGTAAATAATCGATTATAGTTAATATCGATACCGTAAAATGGGGTGAATAGAAACCGCGGGGTGGATAGAAACAATTCTAGTTATTTGATAAAGTTGTCTCTAGGTCTTTCAAGATTTTCAGAGTTATTTAGTTATATGCTGAAAAAATTTCAGCATATAACTAAATAGTAGAAATAAACACACGTTTCCGATATGTAGAAAAACTACAGACAATTTAATCAAATAACCAGACTTGTTTCTATTCACTCCATTTTACTTAGTAATGATTTTATTTTATTGTTCATTGGTCTGGAAATGCAATATGTCGTTTTAAATACAGCAATTATGATGATGTGCTTTAGAAATTTTATCTAAAAATTTAAAATTATATTATCTTGGGATTACTGAAAGAATTTTCTATCCCCACTAATATTATGGAAATACGTAAAGATATTTTCATTATATTAATAATGTTGAATTTATTCTATAATCAATATAGACAAAACGGTTTGTTTTGTTCAGCATATTCGATTGTTTGTTTGTTTATATTGCCAAAGCTATCTTAGGAGCGAATATGAAGTGGCACACATCTCTATTGATGTGTCTCTAGTGTCTGCACATGCGCAAATGTTTCGGAAACTGAAATCCCGACCAAGATAAAATGCGGGACCTGAAGTGACTATGGCCGCCTATAGGATATATAAAAAATCTTTTTGATAAAACAAAACATACTACTCACTTAAGCCACTCTTTCACATGATCCAGCATGTTCATAGGCACAGCATTAACCATGGCCACCTTCTTTGCGTAATCTTTGAACACAAACACCATGTCGAAGTTCTTAAGGTGAAACTGGACTCGCTCAAAATGCACCAGCTCTACATCCTCTAGCGCAATAACAAACGGCGGCCACTCGGTAAGATTTACGAGGGCACCTGAAGTTGGCTGAAGAAGAACTGTACTACGGAATGGTGCACCAGGGAAACCAAGCTCTCTGTAAAGTAAAATGAATATCAGGTTAAATGTGATATATTTTATTTCCAATTTTCTATAAGTAGTACATTTTATTGTTATTATTATATTTCATAGTTTACGCACATGAGTAAAGAAACAGAACAAAGGCAAAGCTTCATACAACCACAGTTAAGGACCTTAGAGTTGGGAAACAAATGTACTTGTGCAGAGTAACGGTGGGGGTACTGCGGGGCAGAGGGCGGGCCGACCTTTCACATTACCATGTGCGTTTTATAGTACTTATTTAACAAATGTTAAGTGCCATCTTCGAAAGAATATAATTTCTATAATGGTGAATTACTGTTATATAGTTATATGCGTTACTGAGTAAAATTGAGTTCAAATGACGGCCATGCCCTACGTTTCCCACATTTTTTTGATAAATTTGTTTTTAACGTCGGGTATTAAAAATAAACAAAACGCGATAAAATCCGTAAAAGTAGTTTTAATCAACAAATTTGTTTATTTGAATGTGAATACACTACATGAAAACATCTATAATATGGAGTGTAGAAGTAAGGAGTACTAACTCCCATAGTAGAATAGTTGAAAAAGTGGCCATCTGTAAGCAGTAAATAACAGTTCAAAAACTCTCCACAACAGCGCTGGAGTAGCTACTGGGAACTATGCTAAATAAACTTAGCAGTTGTCGATGGTTTAAGTGTGGTGCTAAACTGCTCAGTAGCTCTAAAATAATTTTATTTAGTAAATATAACCTCAAAAAAGTCGTCTATCCCACTAATATTCTTCGGTGCGTTCTTTAAAATTTACCCCGTAGATATAGTGGCGCCACCCTTATTTAATGGTTTTATGGAGACTTTTTAATACACAGTCTGTACTCCTTACTTCTACACTCCATAATCTGTAAAAAGGAAGTGTCACAAAAATATTTGGCAGTGCAACAATTGTAAAAGGGTTTTTTCTTGTAGCAATAAATATTGATTTTCTTCAATAAATGTTTTTAATTTATAACTATGTATATAATGTTAATAAATGATAATGATTATTATAATAAACAAAATCATTTTATTTTATGCCTCCGACAAACCCTCGCATAGACGCTGGTCGAGTCAATACCGACGCGGGCGGCGGCATCACCTAACATAAAAATCGATTTTGATTAAACTTTTTTCGTTTGTAATGTCTTAATCGAGAGTACTCTTAGTTTAAGACATTATTGCTTATGATTCAAGAAAATCTGTTAATTCCTTTGAAGATCATCAGTTCTTTATTTCATGGTTATTAAAATGTTCAATTTAAGTTATATATAATAAGTACCTGAAGGGTGTATCAAACTCGACCTCCTGCTTGGTCATGTTCTCGACGCGCTCGCAGAAACTCTTGAAGGCCACTTTGAGCTTATGCCGCAGCTCGCGCTCGCTCTGCTCGGCAGCCAGGTCGTCGCGGTCGTGCATGTGCTGGTGCTTCCCCAGGTCCGTAGTGATTTCACCCACCTCTGTGTAGAACTGCACATCCACGTGCTTCTTTTTACCTGCAAATAAAAACATAAAAGCTTTCTTTTTCTTATACTTCCACATCAGCTCAGCTGTTAGACGTGAGCCTCTGACAGTGAGAATTTGCGTTATAATAATAATAAGGCGTAATAATAAAATTTTAGATGGCTAAAGAAAAATTAGCGGAGTGTTATTACTTAACGAAACGCCGCGAACCGCGATATGCGACATTATAGACGGAAAATACTTGAACTTAATACTTATTGCTGATAATCTAATTTATTATTATTTATTAAGTTTTTTTTATTTGACAAATGTTTACATAATAATATTACAATTATTATGTATTCAATATTGTAACAGTATAGTACTGTTGCAATGTTTGTTGGTTTAACTTCGAAAATGAAGGATGAAATCTCTCAAATCATCTTGGTGATCGATGATCTAAGTGGGAAGTAGGAGTAAGTCTCTTTCTGTACATACACATGTGTATAGTTACAGACTATGACACATTCCATCTTATTTCACAGAGGTTACAATGCATCTGTGTCATCTTTTTTTAAAGTTGGCCGTGTCTATCAACTGCAGTATTACTATAATTTAACCACTTGCCATGAGGTGGACTGTAGGTTTGCTAATCACTCGAGTTTTATAAAAAAAAATCTAATACATCCACTAATTTGTTTCTATAAGTATTTTAAGTATGGGAAGGAGAAAATATGATCCATCTTTCGGCACTGTTATTAATTACCACTGTGAATAATTTTTTATACAACAGCATCATATTTTACTAAAAAGGCTATATGGATTAAAAAAATCGAGTTCATAAATCTCAGTCCAATTCCAGGTCAGACAAAAATTAGTAAAAATCAAGTAACTCACCAAACATAATAGCATGTTTCAAATGGAAATGCAACAAAATGATCATTTCTCCATCACAAGGCTGGAAGAAGGCATTCTTAATATTATTATACAAAATATCCACTTTATCTCCTCTAACCGACGTAAATCTAAAACCATTTGTGTGTGCTTCTAAAGAACCACTCATTCTCTTTGTTACAATATTGGGCCTTATGTACAGATCTTTCAGTTTTGGGTTGCCTTTGCTCTGTGAGAGAACTAATGTGTCCTGTTTAACAAGATCCTCCTTCTCTCTTTCTTCTGCTTCTCTTGTTTTGAACTTCTTTTGAACTTCCTTTATTAAACGGAAACCGGTGTTGAGATTGGAAGAGGGAGGCGATATCTCGCCAGGTTCTTTTGTGTTTGTACTGCGATATGTGCTGAAAAGATAATTTGTTTCTCTTAAGTAACAACTATGTACATCTTGTACTTTTTGTGCATTGGTGTTTTAGTTGAAAGATAATCAAGATAGTTGGTTCTTAGTATTCGTACTATGATTACTATGAACCTACACTTAATTATAATGATTGTTACTTGACTCAATAAAGTCCATAATATAGTCGTGGTCAGATGTATATGCTTCAATTTAAGAACAAAATCCCAGAAAATTTTACAATCTACTTCTATGTAGAGGCGAAACACGTGTCGTATTATAGTCAATGGTGTGTCCTTCCTAGGGTAGTGGTGTTGGGAGTAGTGGTGCTGGGATTAGTGGTGACGGGATTAGTGCACGCAATTGAGGGAGGGCGGGAGGTGCTCTGCAAACTAAATAAGACACATCATTTTATTTTATTGAGAGGATGGTTGCAAAGTAACTTTTAATAAAAAGGTTATTATGTATCATTCAACTTCAATAAATCTTTAACATTTATTGAAGTTGAATGATACATAATAACCTTTAAAATTTGTCGGTACGATACGCGCGCCACCAGCTGTAAGTTAATTGTACTATATCTATAACCTTCACCTAAGTTGACCATGTTTCACAATTACAATCTGGTGAACAGTATGGCAGTTCATAAAAATAATTAATATATATATATATATATATATATATATATATATATATATATATATATATATATATATATATATATAGGGTGTTAGTGTAAACACCGTTGTCCTTGAAACCAGTGGTTTGGTTTCACATATAGAAAGTAATTTCAATGAAAAATGACAACATTTTTTTTAGTCAAATCTCAATTTTTTTCTTACAATTATTTCACCCTAGGCAAGTAGGGATATACCTACAGAATTCACAACAAAAAACTCAACATATCGTTGGTAGCGGCAGCGATTCGCGGTCAAGGCCAATGTCACTGTGTCAGTGTGTCAGTCCTTCGCTGCGTCGGTGCGGAATGTACGTGTAGTTTTGGTGCGAGTGTATTTAATTTGTAATTATGTCCTACATAAACGTGCAGTGGAAATGTGCCTCTTCGTTCACTGAGAAACCTCTACTACCAACATGACTGTGCCCTTGCACATTTTCAGCTGCAAATCAGGGCTATGCTGGTTGAGGAGTTTCCTGGGCGATGAACCGACTTTACCCCGCTGGACTTTTATCTTTGGGGAGAAGTGAAGCGCCGAGTGTATGCAACTAAGTTCCGTAATACGTCCGAACTCAAAAGGCGAATTCTTAGTGTATTTAGAGAAATGACATTGTTGTCTTGGCCTCGCTTTGTATGATCTTTCCGTACAATGAACGGTCAGCTTATGCTTCAAATGCCCTTTGCGTTCCAGGGCCGCGGTACGGTATACGGTAAATACGCCAAAAATCCTACCTAATGATTTACTATTTACTATTATTAATGTTTAATTTTCTTTGTTGTTAAATCTAACTTACATTAATTTGGACTCGTCACGCAACACAAAGGGTAGGAATTTTTATCTGTCCTAAGCAAGTGTGAAAGTATGAAGGAAAAGTTTCATGATAGGTTATGCACCATTGTGTTTATATTGAAATGTTGTAGCAAGGGCGGGCGGTGATCTTTACAGTGATTACGTCACTCGAGCGCATAGGGTATCCATGAATTTACGGACGGTGTCGGACAGAGACTTTTTTAATTTTATAAAAGAAAATAGAGTTTTTTTTAAAAAAAAATTGGATAAATATTTTTATATTAAAGCCAACCACCTATGGTTTCAGTGACAACGGTGTTAACACTTACACACTGTATATATATAAAGATAATACACTTAATAGCAAGCAATAATAAATTACTTACACTTCTTTAACAAACGTAGCATCAGGTTGCGAGTAGTTCCCACCTTCATTCCTGCCCATTGTTGCACCAGGGTGAAAGAAATTTATTCTAAGATACGTGTAGTCACCTTCTACAGACTGTGAGATATTCTTAATAGTGGAGATATGGAACGGTACAGGAACGCCAAATATAGGCAATATGACTGTTTCATATTTACGGTCTGGAATTAATACATTGCAATAAAATATTTTTCCATTGCGATTAAGCGTTTGGCTGCGGCAATACGGCCGCGAACAATGATTATAAATTTAATCTAATAAAATGTGAACTATCTATAAATAATTAGGTATTTGACAATAATGATTATTTTTTGTAGTCTACTGCCAAACATAGGCCTCCCGACAGATTGCCTCTGGGGGGTGGTTAGCAACCACAGTTTTTAATTAAATTTATTGTATAATATAGTTATTAACCAAAAGAAGTTGTTCATTATGCTTTTATCGCCTCTTATGACACTATGGGCTAGTGGATATTCTTACACTGCCACTACATGGTTTATTATGGTTGGTTATGGTGTTTTAATGTAGTTGTTTATTAATAGTGGATTAAATTTTTTTTAACATTAGTAATCTTTTTAATTAACATTACTAATATTCCTTTTAACCACTCCTGGTAAGCTTGAAATGCTTGTGTTAGGAGTGGTTCACGATTGTAGTCGAATGGCGGATTCGAACCCATGACCTTTTCAGTTCGCGAACCGCGCCCTGCCATTAGGCTACTGTCGCGCTTGTTTCCGGTCTGGTTATTTGTCTGCTATAAGCATTATGAAACATTTATAGTATTTTCTAAAATTCTTAAAAAACAGCAGGAGATTTTGGTATTTATATGATCATGTTTATTGATGCAGTTATAGCAACATTTATTTGCCAATAAAGAAGCAAAAGTGCTTACCAACATATAATTTAAGTTCTTTAACTTCATTTTCTCTTGGCATTTGACTGACACTTTTGTATGAAACTGTACTCTTTCTTATCTTCTCACTGTCTTTGCCACTGGATTGTTTTGCAAGACGCTCCTTAGCTTTTTCGTTAAGAGCTATAGCCAGTTCTCTCTGATGTTCTTTACGTTTTTCTTCAGAAGAATGCTCTGTTCGAAGTTTGGATTCTATAACAGCAGTCCTTTTGCCGCGACCTAAAACATAACACGTATATATAGAAAATGTAACTTCCATCAAACCATATTTGTATATGTTACAAGCGTTATTTTGCGATTTTGATTATGAATAACATTAAATTCTAGAATAATTATATAAAAACCTAATCATAACATTTTAAGGGCAGGCTAAACAAACTGGCAAAAATACTAAAAATAAAAAACAACAATATCCCCTAATTAATTGTATTATTTTTAAATTGTGTTTATTTATTGTTTTAAAAGTGATAACATGCATAAAGTAGTTGGATATTGCTATTTAGCCTCTAACATGCAATATTATAATTCATAGTTTAGCATACAAAGAAATAACTCACCTCCATTTTCTATCCATCCAGGTTTGCATGTAAGTAAATAAAATTATATAAATAACGTAACATATTGCACAACAAGCCAGCTATAATCTTTAGATTTTGTTTAAAACATCTCAAATTCAATAATGACAGTTGTAATGCAACCAAAACAAAGAAATTAGTATATGTTGTGTGCTCTATACACATTTTTATTACATGGGCCATCATACTGACCAATGGATGATTTTTTTAATTTAAAATTAAGTAACAATTCAAACAAACTTTTCCGTTGCAATTCATCTATCATTTCAAACAGTACAAGAAATAAAAAATCTACAATCATAAAAAAAACCAACACACAATATGTTTTAAACATTATGATAATGTGGTAGAGGACAAATGTAGAGTAAAAATGTAAAACTTATATATATATATATATATATATATATATATATATATATATATATATATATATATATATATATATTATTAAAAATTAAATATTATCAAATTTAAAGGAAAAAATTGTATAAGAAATGCTTAAGCACAATAAAAGTGTTTTGAGTTGAACAATAATTAGACTTGCAAGGAATAGTATATTCAGCTGCACGCCGAATACTGAATGTTCTGCGAGCTTCCTGGCTGAATAGCCGAATATTAGACAAAAGTATTCGGCGGGAAGGAAGTACTGTTTTTTATTCAGCGCATATTCTCTAAAGTTGGGATTATCCACGAGAAGAAAATTAGTAAACTACTGCCTGAAAATGCAGAAAAATTAGTCTTTCTGCACCTTAATATTCCACTTTAATTACGATAATTCAATTGCATAGACATTTATCTAATAGATTTTTGTTATTTTTTAAAAGAATGTACCATTATTTAAAATAAAAAATACCCTCCACATTTAAACATAAATAAAATAGATAATAAAAAAATCAATTTTTTTAATTTTTCGTTAACGATACAAACGAATCAACCGATTTTGACCGGACCGGCGGCGATCGACGTGGTTTTTCAAGGTTAAAAGTTGATTCGTTTTTGAAATCGATCGGTAAAGCAGTTTAAGTTATTCCAAAGAACTGTTTTTCAAAATTTTTATTTTTGAGATTTCTCAAAATCTACCGATTCGAATTAGTTAAAATTCACACACACACACACACGCACGCACGCACGCACGCACGCACACACGCACGCACGCACGCACGCCGCACGCACGCACGCACGCACACGCACGCACGCACGCACGCACGCACGCACGCACGCACGCACGCACGCACGCACGCACGCACGCACGCACGCACGCACGCACGCACGCACGCACGCACGCACGCACGCACGCACGCACGCACGCACGCACGCACGCACGCACGCACGCACGCACGCACGCACGCACGCACGCACGCACGCACGCACGCACGCACGCACGCACGCACGCACGCACGCACGCACGCACACGCACGCACGCACGCACGCACGCACGCACGCACGCACGCACGCACGCACGCACGCACGCACGCACGCACGCACGCACGCACGCACGCACGCACGCACGCACGCACGCACGCCACGCACACACACACACACACACACACACACACACACACACACACACACACACACACACACACACACACACACACACACACACACACACACACACACACACACACACACACACACACACACACACACACACACACACACACACACACACACACACACACACACACACACACACACACACACACACACACACACACACACACACACACACACACACACACACACACACACACACACACACACACACACACACACACACACACACACACACACACACACACACACACACACACACACACACACACACACACACACACACACACACACACACACACACACACACACACACACACACACACACACACACACACACACACACACACACACACACACACACACACACACACACACACACACACACACACACACACACACACACACACACACACACACACACACACACACACACACACACACACACACACACACACACACAACAGGGTAAAAACAATAACTTCCCCATTTTTGAAAATTATCAATTTTCTTTGTGGGATGTGTGAATCATGTGACTTATTCCGACCTCGTCTATCGCTTTTATGACATTTAATATAGGAAAAAAGCTCTTTTCGGTGGTATTACGTTTGTAGAAGAAGTGTAGATGGTCAATTACTGGAACATTGTGAATTTTTGAAAAATTTACTATAAAAATTTTGATGTATCAGAAAAAATAAAAAATGTATTAAAAAGTTTAAGCACCAGTTGTTGACCAAATGGAATATTACTAGAATATCATGGAATTTGTATTCCAATGGTTTACCAATGACTATCATTGATTTAAATTAACATTTTCTGATAAAATAAGACGTAATATTGTTATATTCTTTATATTATGCAGTTAATTTAATAAATTACAGTCGTACGCGTGCTTAGTAAAATGGCCGTCCGGAGGGAAGCGAATAATTGTCTCTCAGATAATGTTTATTTTACTGGTGTACATGGCACATATATCGCTTTTAGTTATGATCACATGATTGGTAGAAGTACGGCAAGGCTACCAAACGTAAAAATGATGGAAATTTTAAAAGAAGGTTAATATTTAGGTTTGAAGATTGAAATGTTTTACTACTGGTGGTGTCGGGCTGGCGCAGCCATCCTATTTTTATTTTACCAATTATCTGACTACAACAAAGCATCTTACTCAAGTATTCGGTATTCGGCCGAATAGTATCCAGCTATTCGATATATAGGCGGAATACCTAATAACAGCCGAATATTCCATTAATATTAGTACCCGGTTGACCGAGCTTTGCTCGGTATTTTTCGCTCGTTTTTTTTTTTAATTCGTGTGTTTTGAAAATATATTAGATACAAATTACATACTGATGAAATACGAATAATATTTTGTGATCGTAGCGACATAACAGAAAAAACTGAACTGGTTATTTGAATAAAAAATCATAAGTGCAATTATTTTAATTTAAATTTTCGTATTTTTAAAAAATCCTAAAAAAAAGGGCACGAAAAAATAGATTTTCTCAAAAAAGAAAGGAACTTGAAAAAAAAATTAAAAAAAGTCGGTAGGTCGGTCCGCACAAATAGGTCACAAATTCGTAACATGGTTTTACGAATTTGTGACCGCCCAATATACCAATTCAGCTATTTGTAATCATTGATAAATTATCAAAATTTACCTTCTTATTCTAAAGATATTGTTGCAGTTTTTCATTGCCTAAAAACACGGACAAAAAGACATTTTCTAAAAATAAATCCTAGCTAGATCGATTTATTGCCCCCGAAACTCCCTGCACACAAAATTTTATGAAAATCGTTGGAGCCGTTTCCGAGATTCCGATTTTATATATATACAAGAATTGCTCGTTTAAAGGTATAGGATATAGGATTTATTTGTTCAGTTTATAGGACGACTACATTTCGACATTCAACTAAATGTTCAACTAAATAGTGGAATTACAATGACGCATATAATGTTAAAGTTGGAGCTGATGGAAAGTCAACATTTCCGGCAAGTATGAATCAAATTCTGGCACAGACACAAAATTTAAATTCAGTATTTTAGTTTTTTCTGTATATGTAATTTTTTCTATGTATGTTTGTGAAAATATTAACTGAACTGAACTTTCCACCATACATGATCTTTCTTGCTATGTGTGATAATTTTATTTAAACATCAATGACTTAATATTGCCCAACTGTTTTGTAATTATGAATAAACTTTTTTTAGGTATCCACAACAATAAAAATTAAAGACAAATACATTTTCCTTGTTTGCTCAACACACTATAACACGTACTGCGTAAATTGAAAATACATGAGGTTGGTTGGCAATACATATGTTAATATAATTTAGTTATAAATTAAAAATCTTCAACCCCTCAATTGTCACTCACTCACCGAGTATTTCAGTCTTATTTTCCTTTTCCTCCTCTTCTTCTTCATCATCATCTTTTAAAAAGATACCGATATTTTTGATCTTCTTTTTGGATTGAGTAAGTAATGAAGCTGGTTGCTCTTCATTTACTAATACAGTGTCACCAATAAACAGAGCATAGGTCTGAAGAAAATTTAACCAAAATATAATTTAACCAGACTAAAGACAAGGAGAAGTTTGAAGTTTCAATGAGCGATAATTTTTTACCCACTATCAACATAAACATAACAAATATATATATATATATATATATATGTATATATGTATATATATTTTACCTCACTGTTAACATGTATATACAAAAAGGGGGTTTCAAATAGAGACCGTTCAAATATAAAAAGTGGAGGACGTTTTTTTAAAAGGAATGTTACTTCCACACTAGGATTTTCTCCTGTATCTTTGGGGCAGTTCACATACATAAACTTTACAAGAACAAACATCCAGACCCGGAACAATTACTTGTAGGCCATACAAAAATTTGTTCCGTGTGGGATTTGACCCCGAGGCCCTTAGCGCTGCAACTCATTGCTATGCCGCTGCGCCACGGAGCCGTCGTTAATATGAGGTAGACGCACACTGTAGCTGTGTTATAATTGCAGCTTGAAAGGGTGAGCTCGGCTGGGGAAGGACCAGCATAAAGTACCAGAATGATGCCGAAGAGAACCAAAGACATGACATTTGTGCTCCTTTTTTACTGGTACTTGCATAGGAAATTGCATATAAAGTTTAACAAATTTAATAATAAGCAAAATAATGTAAAATAACCATATGAAACTATGTTTTTCTATTTTAATGACAATATAACACTTTTTACTGTTGTTACTGTGGTGACCATTTGGAGGTGTCTGGTGTCGGCTTAAGAGAACCTATCGCCCCATTTCGACTCATAATAGAGGTAAAATGGTGGCCAAATAAGCGAAGGATAGGCTGTGCCTCAATAGATAGAGACCTGGTAAGACATGCAGCAAGTTGAGAGGTACTGGTGTCTTAGGATCGTATTTTATGGCATTCTTTGTGGGGAGACCTATATTCAGTAGTGGACTTGAGAAGGGCTGTAATGATGATGATGATGATTCCGCAACACAAATGGATTTAACAAAAATATTTTAGAATGATGAGTTCCACTATCAGATGATTTATTGACACAATTAAATTTGTACACAATTAGAAACTTGTATGAGCTATGGCCTAACAAAAGAGTTTAGGCGAATATTTATAAGTCGGTAAGGCAGGTTGCTGCTGGATTCCTCATGAATTCACATCTGACTAGGAAGGGACTGATGAAAATTCATAAACAGCTAAAAGAGAGCAATGCTAGGAGTGATCTACATCCGAAAAAATGGAAGTTTTTTGTGAAATCGAAAAACTTATAAATAAATGGTTTTAAACTTTTTAACTATATCATATCTAATATAAATGCTTTTAGAAAAAATATGCCTCAGGTAACTATTTTTTTTACAAAAAGGTCCTTTCACAAAAAAGTGAATTTTCAATCTCTTCATTGAAAGTTGACTACAAAACTTTGACAATTCTACAATTCACTATTTCTATTCAAAAATACTTTTATAAAAGTCAAAAATATAATTTTTTACCTTTCCTTCCTTCTCTGTAGCAGCACTGTTTGTGAGATTAGCTAAGCCAATGTTGATGTTAAACACCATTCCTTTTTTAGCTACTACAGAAGTTTTCGGTCCAATCACGATTGAGCTTTCACGAAATTCAATACCCATTGCAAAACTAAAATAAATAACGGTTCCTTTAGATGGATAAACATTGATAAACTGAATTACAAATAAGGTTTGCAGAGACTTACCCAAAAGATTTTGTAAGATTATCAACTAAATCAGGTTTTTCTTTTTTCGCAAGTTCCAAGCCAGCTTCATAAACTGCTGAAAGTTTTGCACCAGCAACTAAATGTTTCATTACTTCTTCCTCTAAATTTATAAGAAAGTTATAATTGCTCTGAATTTCGTCTGTTGGATTTACGAGTAAAGTGCGGACGATATTTGAGCAGTATGATTTATAGCGCGCGCCCAAAGAACATACGATAGCGCCAAAATGTAAATGATTTTTATCAGATACTGCACTGAACTTAAGACTGTAATTTCCTCCAGATTGTATGATGGGAGGATAGCACATATCTACTTGACTTGTGTCCACACCAGTAACATATTTCTTATCAGATATGGCAGCTTCTACACCTTCAGCAAGCTTTGAATGTTTTACTTTCTAAAAATTGACAATATTTTAGTTGAGTTTTTACATAAGTGGAAATGGATCAAACATAGTAGATAAAATTTACCTTATCAGAATCAATAATTTCCATAATTTGATCCTTTAAATATTTTGTGAAAACATCAACTGTGACTAAACAAGCTTTTTTAACTGTAATAATTTCAGAGTCTTCTTTTGGCGCCATAAGAATTGCTATTGAAGAGCTAATATCAACATTTTCAAACTTCTCAGCCTTCATAGCAGCTTTCCAACTTTCACAAAATTCACCGGGATAGTTGTCTTTTGCAAATACACCAAGTGTTTTTCCTGATTTGGACTTTTTGATCTCTTGAATGAGTTTATTGAAGTTTTCCTTATCCTTATCATTCTTTAACAAAAACAAAATATTTAAGTATAGCAATTTTATGTATGTAATATTAGTATGACAATTTTTAATAATTCATTTATAAGATAAATACACCCTTAATTCAATTTGTTGCAAACATTTATTTTACTTACTACTTTACTAAGTGCAACTTTATTGGTCCTAAACATATAATTTTGCTTATATTAATAATTTTTAATAGAGTCGAAATTTTTAGAGAAAATTGTGTAATAAGTTCAATGAGCCGTGGTAGCTAAGGATCTTAAGCGCTCTCTGTAATTTTTTACAGTACGCGAGCAATCCTTGTTTGATTCCCGCCGGCACCAATGAAATTTTTAATTACCATTTGAATTGCTGATTTACCATGTTCTACTCAGTAAAGGAAAACATCATGAACAAACCTGAATATTTAAGAAATAAAAAAAATATATTTCAAAGACATGTGAAGTTCGCCAACACGCATAGGGGCAGCGGCAGCGCAGCAGGTATTTCCCCTAAAATCTCTTATCTCTCTTAAAACCCACTCAGAAATGAGAAGTGGCCTAGCAGTGGGACGTATATTGGCTGTAACTTTACTTTTACTTTAAGTTAAATTATAATTTTTAACAAAATTTTGAACATTTTTGTTAACCTATTTAATAGTAGCCTAATCTGTGGTGGTTTTAGCCTAACAGATGACATATGATGATGTAAGAATGTTTTGTTAATAAAAAAGTTGTAAATGAAGAAAAAACAACATTAGTAACATTATAGGCTCCAATATCCTTCCAGTAACATTATAGGCTAACTCTTAATGCGAGATAGTACCCGGGCAATGAAAAAATTTGGCATTCAAATATCCTCTCAACTGCGGATGTCCAAGACTTGGACACGAAAATATCTCCGTTGACTGCGGACGTCCAAGTGTTAGATATTTTTTACCCGCTCTTTTAATGAAGAAACAAAGCATTATGCGTTATTTCTAACTCATTCTACCATATGTCAATGTGTACAGGATAAAAAAAGGCTAGCATAAAAACCCCACAGCTTATACACTATAGTAGTATATTTTATTTAAATTATTCTTAAATGTCGTCCGTTCCTCGAGTCAGCCATTAGTGTGATTGACGCGCTCTAACAACGAAGTTGTTTGTAATTATTTTGTATTAATTTATATTTATTGTGTGGTAAATTGTGTTAAAACAATGCCTGGGTAAGTAATCTTCTTATTTGTAATCTCATTTTGTGTTTTATCTTATTAAGTACATGTAAAATCGTTTTTTAATATGTATGAAGCAAACTGCTATCTTAAAACTAACATGCTGGTTGAGGAAAGTTGAATTGAAATGTACGTAAAATTTTAGTGTTGACTGTCAGTTTTGTGTTAAAATATGTATAATTGTTCATCGTTCACAGTTTTAGTACATCAAAATGTGGATAAAGTGCAATATTTTCAAAATTTTTATGTATATACGCAATAGGTGCAATAGTGTCCATTTTTGAGACGTCCGTAGAAGTGAATTCTAGTTCTCTGTTTTGCGGGTGGCGAAAAAAGGAACTAAAGTTTGCCATACTGCATCAAGTTCAAATTCGGTTGAATGGTTAGAATGGTAAAGAATCTAGCGCCCTCGAGCAGAGAAATGGAGCTTGGTTGACTCCACGATTATTCGATGATTTATAAAAAATTGAATGTGGCATTTGGATATGTCATGTATGCTAACACAAGACTTCGGAATTTTTTAAACAATTTATTAAAACAGAAAGTTAGATAGTATTTACATAATATGCTTTTTAATATTTTTATTTTAATATTTTTTAATATTTAATATTTGAAATTTTTATTTTTTTTAATTTAATATGAACAGGTTGTGGTTTTTAAAGTCACCTCAGACACATATTTCTTATACTGGTTTTTTTAATGTACATTTTATCTGTATTTACTTTGCAAATCGTGTAACGTTGCGTTATGTTTCAACCTATAGCAAGATTGCTGCTACCTACAGTACCATTCGTAAATGAATTGTACTGTAGATACAGTAAATCCAACAAGTACCAGGAGCCTTTTAAAGAAATAAGTACCTATATTATATATTTATTCAATTTTATACTTATGTCCATCCATCCATTTAGTTTTTATTGTTGCCTAGCTATAATTTGTTCAGCTAATTATTTCAGACTATCATCGTCGAAATTGTTAAGTTAGTTAAGTTACACAGCCGATTTCCGTCCCACTGCTGGGCCTTCCCTCACTTCTGAAAGAGTTTTACGGCAAAGAAGTATCCACCGCGCTGCCCATATGCGTGTTGGCGAACTGCACATGCCTTGGAAATATTTTTTTTTATTTCTCAGACAGTCAGACTTCCTCATGATGTTTTTCTTCACCGCCGAGCAAAGGTAAATCAGCACTTAAAATTGTAATTAATAATTTCATTGATGCCGGCGGGGATCGAACCGGGTGTGATAGCGTACTGTGAAATTTAACGCGAGAGCTAACAATCTGAGCTACCAGGGCTCTCTCATCGTCGAAATGAATACTTAAGTTAGTTAAGTTACAGCCTTTTCACGCCCCACAGCTGGGCAAAGACAAAGAAGTTTCCGTCGCACTGTCACATGTCTTCGAAATATTTTTTTTCTTATTTCACAGACGTGCAGGTTTCCTCACAATGTCTTTCTTCACCGCCGAGCACGTGGTAGATCAGCACTTAAAATTGCAATTAACAATTTCATTATTGCTAGCGGGGATCCAACCCGGCTTGCTAGCGTACTATGAAATTTACAACGAGAGCTAACCATCTGAGCTACCACGGCTCTTCCGAGCCACCACGGCTCTCATCGTTGAAATGAATACACCTCTTTATTTTGTATGTTTTTTTTTCTATAGGATAGGGTGACAAACGAGCACGCAGTCCACCTGTGGTGGTTTCTGCTGCCCATAGACATCTACATCTATCCTCGATTACAAATCAAAATGCAAAAATGCGTGTCACCCGTGAGGACTAAGATGGAACGCCTCGTTTCCAGCAAAAAAGGCTCTCCGGTTCTCTACACTCACCATACGAAACACAGAAGCACTAAGCTATTATTTCACGCTGGTATTCTGTGAGAGCGTGGTCCTTCCCCGGTCGAGCCGGCCTATTCGTGCTACAACTATACTACTAATATAACTGCAGCATGGCTCTACCACGTATAAAAAATGTTTTAATGAACTAGTACATGATGCACAAAAAAGTGCAGAATCGAACTTTAATTGTGGCATATTTTTGTATAATGCATACCGTTTGGAGAAATAATGTTATTGGTTATTGGAAATGTAACATAACCGCTGCGCACCTCGCGGCGCCTCTGTCACTCGATACATATTATGGTGCATTGGGTATTGTTTACAAAAAACATTATTTATAACTCTACATCAGCGGGAGTGACTCTTGAGTGGTTTTATGGTTTTTAAAGGAATGAATGAATCTTTATTTCTGTACAAGTGCTGTTAAAGTTTGTTTGCTCAAATAAAGTAATTAATTTTTCAATAAATATGGCACTTACGACTAAAATTTTGATCGCATTAAGAGTACTTATGAAATACTTTATCGGATTTCTAAAACTTAGCAAGACCTATTGAAAGATGACTGAATCATGTAAAGAAAAAGAGAGATTCAAGACTGAATCATTGTAATGAAATAAAAAAAACTATTTTTATTGACTAAAGCATTACGCCGCATTATGCCGCATCTGGTCCGAACTACATGCTACATCGGTGTAAATTGATTGTGGGTTCTTGTAAGCTTATTATTAATGCGTTTTACGATAAAAAATTGTATTGTAGCCTATGATTTTGCACATAAAATATTGTAAACAATAGACGTAAGATTAAAATAAAACAAAATTGAACTATTAAAAGACTTTGTGTCATTGAGAAATATGATAGTTTTGACTTTATTCTATATTTAGTTATACTAACCACTTTAAACTTTATTAAGTATATGTACTCGTTTATAGGAAATTTCATAAAGAATTCAGAAATGTATACATATAAATGTAAATGTAAATGTATTCGATATACCAAAATCAACATATTTGCGTTTAAACGGATTGGGCCCAATCAGCCGTCCATTTTATTAAACAGCTCCGCAGTCAACGGAGAATTACGGTTAGTCTCCGCAGCTGAAAGGATATATCTATTATAAAGGCTTATTTTATGTACATCACACTAGTTTTTGTTTCACGTCAATATATGCAGTAATACCAAGGTTATTACTACAAGCAGGCCTCCGTCACTTTTGCTACCTACTTGAAATAATTAACTATAATCGCAAAGCGCCCCGGGCCCCGGGCCATACGCAGTCGGTTTTCGGTTTTGGACGATTGAATGTTAGTTTTTTGAGCTGTTTACGTAAATTGTTTTTTTTTGTACTTTTTTGAAAGTTGTTAGTTCTTAGTGTTTAGTATATTTAATTGTAGGATATAATAGTCGAAAAAGTTTTAATGTAAATTAAAAATTATTTATATATACTAATACTATTGATAAATAATAATGGCAAAACGTCATTCGTACTATAATTGGTGCGTGGATGGATGCTAAATGACCAACAAAAAGGTTTCAGATATATCATTCTCTAAGTTTCCGAAGGATTTTAGTAGGAAGTTGTGAAAGGTGAATTTATTTAATTTTTTTTTTGTTAGATAGGTACTTATAGCATAAAAGAATTAAGTAATAATTTATCTACAAAAGTAATACCAAAGTACTTTATTACAAAACTTAAATTTACTACTTAATTACACAAAATACTGAAATTAACTTTGTTTACTAACAAGATTTTTAACTAAGTAGAATACAATCACATTTCTGTTAGAAGTCGTATTTCAGGTTTATTTGTTGTTTAGACTATCTATCTATTTCTGCAGAGCCAAGCAGCGCGATTCCCGACGAATAGCCTTGCAAGCTGCATGCATTACGCGCCCCCAATTTTTTATACACTCCTAAAACTTTAAAACCACAATTTCATTACTTTATTTAATTTAGTTATGGTATGCTAGATTAGTCTAAAATTCCGCTCAAGACTACAACTGCTCGGGGCAAACGGAGCATAAATACCAAGGCGACCCCTGCCATGCTGTCCGTGAATTTCTGCAATATCAGGGGACTTCACTCTAACCTAAACGCCGTCCCCTACCATCTCGAGACGGCGAGGCCGGCTCTGCGCTTTCTGACCGAGACACAGATGTCCTCTTCGGCTGATGTCTTGTATCTCTCCCACCCAGGGTACAAACTGGAACACTCCTTTGTGCCTCGGGCTGGAGTTTGCGTTTACGTCAGAGAGGACATCTGTTCTCATCGCCTCGGCAGACTTGAAGGTTCTGACCTGTCCATCCTTTGGCTACGCGTGTCTACGGGTGCCTCTATAGTTCCCATAGTGGTAATGCCGAAACAGACCGACTCTTCGACCACGTCCAAATGGCTACAAATTCATTGCTACAGCAGAATCCCTCCGCAGAGATCGTGATCCTAGGCGACTTTTTACTTACTTAACGCCCATCACGTCGAATGGCTTGGTTCATGTTTAACCGATCATGCGGGGAGATCTGTTCATGATTTTGCCTTGGCATATGGTGTGACACAACTGGTTACTTCGCCTACGCGGATTCCAGATGTGGAGGATCATGCACCTTCCCTGTTGGACCTTCTGCTGACCTCTCACCCGAATGGATATCAGATTTCCGTCGACGCCCCTTTAGGCTCCTCAGACCATTGTCTTGTCCGGAGTGTGACCTCACGCTGAAATCGCAGTTGCATTCTGCAGGCTGCCGCCGTGTTTGGCACTATAGTTCAACCGATTGGGATGGGATGCGGTCTTTCTTTGCATCGTACCCTTGGGGGTTTGCTTCTCGCCGCACGATCCCAACGTTGTTGCGGATTCTGTCGCTGATGTGGTACTTCAGGGTATGGGACTTTTTTTCTCCCTTCCTTCTTCCTTTCCTTTCTTTGTTTCCTTTCCTTCCTCTGTGGTGCCCATTGGAGGCAAATCTCAGCCATGGTTTGGTCGCTCCTGTAAAATAGCATCATGCTATAAGTAGGAGCGCTACCAAGCCTCTGACGCATCACCGGGGTGTAAACAGCAGCGATCTAAAAAAGAAGTATAATTCCGCCTCTAGGTTCTTTAAAGAGTCATTGCCAAGGCAAAGTCAGAGCACATAGGCAGAATTGGCGAGAAACTAGTTCGCCTTCCTTCTGGAACCCGTGCATTCTGGTCTCTCGCCAAGGCTGTCCAAGGGAATTTCTGTCAGCCATCTCTTCCATCTCTGCACAGGGAGGCTCAGGACGACTCACTGGCCCATACCGCAAAGGAGAAAGCCTATCTTCTAGGCTCTTTCTTTGCGTCCAACTCGACTCTCGATGACGGGGGGAGTACGCCGCCGACCATCCCGCGGTGTGAGTGCTCCATGCCGGAAGTGCAGTTCACACAGCGCTCGGTTCGCAAAGCACTCCTCTCCCTGGACATCCACAAGTCGAGTGGGCCTGACGGAATCCCCCCAATTGCGCTGAGGACGTGTGCTCCAGAGTTGGCACCGGTTTTAACGCGTCTTTTCCTACTACTCCTACTCCCTAGGCGTAGTCCCAAAATCATGGAAGACGGCTTTCGTCCACCCGATCCCTAAAAAAGGCGACCGCTGAGACCCGTCCAACTACCGACCTATCGCCATCACCTCCTTGTTCTCCAAAACAATGGAGTCCATTGTAAACTGCCAGCTCATGAGGTACCTTGAGGATCACCAGCTGATTAGTGACCGCCAATACGGTTTTCGCCGTGGTCGGTCAGCTGGTGATCTTCTGGTCTACCTAACTCACAGATGGGTGGAGGCAGTAGAGTCCAAGGGGGAGACATTGTTCGTTAGTTTGGACATTGCGAAGGCCTTCGATCGGGTTTGGCACAAATCTTCTTTCGAAGCTCCCTTCGTATGGGCTTCCCGAGAAATTGTGCGATTGGATCACCATCTTTCTTGCAGATCGGAGCATCAAGGTCATTGTAGACGGTGCAAGCTCCGATTGCAAGCCTATTAATGCTGGTGTTCCACAAGGCTGCGTGCTATCGCCAACGCTGTTTCTTCTGCATATCAATGATATGTTGCAAAACCCGTAACATTTATTGCTATGCAGATGACAGCACTGGTGATGCTCTTTAAACCGGCCGAACCAATATTTCTCGGGAAAACGTCTCCGAGTGCCGGGGCAAACTTGTGTCTGAAGTCGAGTCTTTAATGAACAGAGTCTCGGATTGGGGGCGACTAAATCTAGTCCAGTTTAACCCCCAGAAGACACAAATTTGCGCGTTACCCACTAAAAAGAACCCCTTTGTCGTATCTCCTCAGTTTCAAGGCACTTCCCTTGTTGCCTCAGCCAGTATCGGAATCCTCAGCGTCGACATAGATCGTGCAGTTTCGTGGTCACTTGGAAGAGAAGGCCAAATTGGCCTCTAAAAAAGCTTGGCGTGCTCAGCAGAGCGGGACAGTATTTAGTAAAGTAACGTAAAAAGTAGTAACAAGTTTGTTGATATCAAGTTCAATTTTACTCAAAAACAGTTGTAAATCGCCACATTCGGTAGCTGCAAACAATTTATTTTTTTAGTAAGCAGCATTGCCACAGCGCTAAATCCAAGTTCTCACAAATAGAAATGTCATCAAAAATCATTGAACGACTGACCACAATCCACTGTACAACTGCAGGATTGACTTTCATAGTCCAAATTCCTGGTAGCCTGGAGTATTTTTGGAAAAGATTTTTATTTCCTCATTTCCTGTCAGTTATATAAGTTCTTCTTCCAGTTGGGGTAATACTGCTATGCTTTAACATTTAAAAAATGATCTAACACCTAGTCTAGTATTTCCAATTTAAAAATGTCCTGGAATCTTTCAATGAAATCACTGTGGGGATTTTCCAAATGTTGGCAAGTGGACAAGCAAGTCGTTGTTATTATAGGATACTGATAATTTGACACCCCATCATAACTGGAACACCATCTGTAGCAGCTGATATAATATTCTTCTTTTCCATCATAAAACTTTTCCAATGTTTTAAATATGGTTTCTCCTTTTGTGTCCTGTCTTTAATTTTCTAGCAAATAATAGTTCTTGACATATATAATAAACTTCACGTAATAAGCAACAATATTTCATTAGTTGGTAAAGTGGACTCATCCAACTGAATTGAAAATTGACTAGTATTCAGATGATTGCACAATGACTCTTCAATGTTTTCAGCCATTTCATCAATTTGTCTTTACACAGAACTATTGCACTAAGGAATTTTTTGAATAATGTTTGCCACCGGTTTATGGAGTACACCAGTTAATACTTCTTTTATTGCCAGCAAATTACACACAAACACTTGGCTGAATTGCATTATGCTTCTTTTCCAGGTCTTGAAAAATAGGCTACATTTTTGTCCTTTTTATCTGGACACATTTTCTGCACTATATTGCCATCTCTTCTTTTTTGCTTCCGACATGGCTTTGTTTTTACAAATATATTAAATATTAGCACTAGGAATAAAGTGTTAACCTTAAATACTAGTTTAAAGATTGCGCTTGAAACCACTAATGGAAATATAAAAATTATTACAAACTTTTATATAGGATTTAAATAAGCATGCACCGACAGGAATAAGACAAACATGCACAAACTCATTTATCTCTTTCGATGCTCAATCATACTGAGCAAGTTAAGACAAGTATTGATGAACCAGCCGATTACTACGAAATAGCATTATTAAAAAAAAAAAATAGCGTATGGCGTATGGGCTATCCTAAAAAATCTATGTTAAGTATTTCCAGTTTATATACCATCATACAGATCAAAAATATAAACTAATTATTAATTATTCAAAATTAAATAGTAGATAGGTTTCGATTTCAGTAAATTTTAAAATATAAAGTATCTAAATGAAATTACAAATCAACCATCAACCCTAAACCACACCAACACCCCTCATTTTTTTTAAGCCCCTTAATGTCTACCTCTAGGTCTCCAACACCCATAATGGGGCGTTATTGCTCACTTTAAGAAAGACTGATAAAGTAAAGTTACAGCCTATATATGTCCCACTGCTGGGCACAGGCCTCCGTTCATTTCTGTGAGGGTTTTAGGGCAAGGATATGTCTGCCGCGCTGCCCCAATGCATGTTGGCGAACTTCACATGTCTTCTAAATTTTTTTCTTATTTCTTTGACATAAAGGTTTCCTTACAATGTTTTCCTTCACCACCAAGCACGTGGCAAATAAGCACTTAAAATTGCAATTAACAATTTCATTGGTGCCGGTGGGGATCGAACCCGGTTTGCTGAGGTTATCTGAGCTACCACAGCTCTAGGCTATTAGACGTCAGCAAGCAATTAACATCAAAGGATTGCAACTTGAGTATGTAGAACTATTATTTATTCTGTGCCAACAGATTAGTAAGCTGAACGGACAACCGATGGGGAAAAAAGGTTCTCATGTGCCAGCCTCATACCGATAGGCTTAGTATAGGGCAATCCCCACTAGATGGAGTGACGATAGTGTAAGAAATGCAGGAAGTTAATGGATGCACTCAGGACCGTGCTTTGTAGAATTCCCTGGAGGAGGAATGATGACAATGATGATTTTTCTATCTTGCTTTATGCTTTTACCCTAGTTAAGCAGACCCATTAATGCAATAATATACTTGCAGAGTATTACTACCTCATTTAAAATAATATAAAGGTTTTTTTTTCATAAAAAATGATAGGATTTTCTACAATTCCACCAACACATCTGTGTGTGGAACAACACACAACACAGGTACATAACTCTCACCTCTACCACTTCCTCTTTACAAAAGTTGTAGGTTCCATTTATTACTTCGAAGCATAATTATTTTGTGTTTTACAAATTAGAAAGTAATAATAATGTTACTTACTCTATCTCTAATAAGAAGCTTAACTGGGGGTAATTCTGTTTCTTCTTTACCATTTTCAATTTGACGGAGGAATTCAATTTTTTTCTTGCTTGCCAAAAAACACATACTATTTTCAGTAAGTACTGTTATTGTATCTGGTAACTCATATCCAAATAACCATGTCTGTAAAAATAGTTGATCAATTAACATATCAGTAGTTATACATGCCATTATAATGCATTTTAACAAATCAAAAGGAAATTTCAAAAAACCTACAGAAAATCCGAAAAAAAAGAATCAATGTAATAAAACATTTTTTTTAAATCTATTAATATCGCATTCAGTTCGAAAACCCCACTGAATAGTAGCCAAGACTCGTCCATGCGCACTATGTAAAAATAAAAACAAACCTGCAAAGCTGTTGATTTACTGTATAACGTGTCTTCATCTATGCCAACACAAGAAACCAAGCAGTCAGCCTTGGCTAATGCCTCGTCGCTTTTAGAATCAGCAGCTGCACCCTGTAAATATTTTTAATTAAGACAAGGGTAAGAGAATACAAAATGCGACTGTAAGAATCTACGCATTGTAACCCACCTTCCAAGTCGCGTACAGCCTTTTCATTCGACGATAAAACGTCTCTTTATCGAGAGATATATTAGACATTGTGAAAAGTAACAGAAAATAATAAAATTATACGTTTTCACACCACAATGAATAAAATGTAAAACACGATCCTAAACATTACAGAGTTTGACACCGTTTGACACCAAACACGAATGGCGGGCGTTTACTCTACTCATAGATAAATAGATATGTATCATAGATTTAGTATAAACTCCATAGGTTGCCAACTACAACCAACAAACGAGACTAAATACCCTGGAGGTTAAACAGAAGGAGAACGATCGCTGTAGAAAATAGTGTCCCAGAAATATGGACAAAATAAGTGAGAAGCTGCGAGCGCTAATTTCTCTCAATAAGTCATTTTCTGTCTATTTTTGCGATCATATGCTAAACCACTTGTATATTCACGCACAATAAGATATTTCTCCATTTTTTAATGTTTCTTTTTGTCATAAATTAAATGCAAAGCAAGATTATTTTCTCACCAATCCCGCGAAGAAAATTTGTACATTATTCAACTAACTTCATCTCCTTGTACTCATAAACAGCTAATTTCACAGCTACTACTCACCGACAGCAGCGCCGCGATAAATTCTACAAATATTTAGGAACAGCCGGGCTATGCTTTATACTCCTATTACACTACCCTGAATCAGGCTCCCTACGCCTTGATTCAGGGTGGTGTAATAAGAGAAAGGGAGTAAGGGTCCCTAATTAGGGTGTCAAGTGGACTGGTTCTGCAGTGCCCTTCCACCGTGCAGTGTAATATCACTAAGGGAGTTAGGGCACTTATTCGATACGCGACTAGGGATGCAACGATACATCAATTCTTTCAAACATCGATATATCGTTCATAAACATGGTTCTTTATGAGCTATGTTTTATGAACGATGTTTTGCCGTAAAAGGTAACGAAATAACCAACTATTCGAAGGTATAAAATTCCGTATGTTAAAAGTTGCGAATGATGATTATCACGAATTTTATGTTGCCAAAAAGTAAATATTCGAAATAAAATATGTCAAAGTTAGATATCGTCTAAATTTTTAAAGTTAGAAGGTTTACGAGTATTTAGCAGAAATAACTGAATTCCAAAAATTTTAATTACGAATTAACAAACAGACGAATGATCTTTCAGCCGAAAATAAATATACTTCAGAAGTACAATTGTCTTCTATCATAATTCCGTTTTTGATGTAAATTTGTAGTTATTTTTATTGTGATAATTAATCAAGATAAGTTTACAAATATTGAAAATGGATTGAAATTGTTTCATTCATTTTCTTATTAATAATTATATTGTTTGAGCTTTAACTTAATGAATAGCTTAAGTACAGCCTTATAAGTTAATAGTTATTTTGTGATGGAAATTATTTTATCGGCTTATGTCGCCTCTACACGTTGGCCAACACAGTTGCGAATGTAGTGGCGAATATATTGGCCGAGAGTTGGTGACGGCGTCCACACTTTGGAAGGTCGGTCAGTTTACTTCGGTTCGGGCCAATGTGCGGACGAATTTATTTCATTTTAGACGTCGGCTCCGTGGCGCAGTGGCTTGGCAATGAGTGGCTGTGCCAGGGGTCGCGGGTTTGAATCCCGCACGGAACAAGTATTTGTATATCTCTATCTGGATGTGTGTCCTTGTGCAATTTATGTTTGTAAGTAGCCTCCTCGACACAGGAGAAAATCCAAGTGTGGGGGGGTAACGTTTTTATAAAATAATTATAAAAGAATAGTGAATATTAACAGGGCTGTAAATACGATATACGATTAGCTTTATTTATTCTTTACATGTATCAGAAACTGGAATAAATACCATTAATTAGAACTTAAGTTATTTTAAAGTTAAATGAGTTATAATCGAATAGTCTATGTTTTAAAATTGTGTTTTGATTTTAAAGTTTATCAAAACATATACTTGCTTTTCTATCGGACATTTGATGTATATAAAAACACCTTATAATTTATTTGGTAATTTAATTATTTTTTGAGAAAGGCAAAAACAATAGCAATAAATATAATTAACACTGACTTAATAATAGGTACTAATTATAACTTAGAACATAAATGAAAAACTCATGACAAGGAAAGTGGCTCAGGACCATGCTTTGCGGCATTCTTTGGAGGAGGATGTTCAGTAGTGGACTTGTGAAGAGCTGTAATGATGATGATGATTCGAAAACTTGCACGATTAAATTATAAGAAATCGACGCTTTTTATATAGGATAGGGTGACAAACGAGCACACAGTTCACCTGATGGTAAGTGGTTGCTGTGGCCCACAGACATCTACATCTATCCTCGATTACAAATCAAAATTCAGATGCGTTGTCACCCGTGAGGACTAAGATGAAATGCCTCGTTTCCTTTAAAAAGTGTCTCTGGTCCTCTACACTCACTATACGAAACACAGTATCATTAAGCTACTATTTTACATTGATATTCTGTGAGAGCGTGGTCTTTCCCCGGTCGAACCGACCCATTCGTGCTACAAGTATATTTCTAATATAAGTGCATGGTTCTACCACGTATAAACGACGTGCTTAATTTTTTTTTTCATTTTAAAATTTTTCTCGTAATAATCTGATTGTTAATAAAAGTTCATTATTTTTTTATAAATAGCTTATCGAATAAAACAAATGTTTAAAAATAATTAAATCGCGCTAATTAAAGTAGTATGAATGTTTAAAGTTGAAATTGTGTAATTGGGTCATCCACCCTACAAAGCGTGAATATAAAATATTAATCAGATGCGTGTAATCACTCTGGGAGCTTGTAGCAAACTAAACTCGCGGCCAACGTGTGGACGCGGCGACCAAACTCTGCCAACAATCCTTTGATCTTTTGTAAAAAACCGACACCACACGGATCTCGCGCCACCTTGCGGGCCATCGTTCCAATACATACCAATGAAGCCCAAACACCCCGTCTACACGTTGGCAAATGCTATTGGCCACTACATTGGCCACTGTGTTGGCCAACGTGTAGAGGCGCCGTTTCGGTACTTCATATTTCGTTACAATCATTTTTCTGAAATATTGGTGTTTATGGATGAACGTTTATTCACCTGTTTGTATTTCGGTATAGTTTCGTGAATATATTCAGAAAATGCGATAATACTGAAGGTAACATATGAAACTACCATACAAATTAACGCACTACATCATAAGAAATAAAATTAAAGCAGAAGACGAGTTTCATAAATTACATGTGGGATATCATTAAAAGGTTATTTGCCGGGCTTTATAGTCTGGATAAAGTCTATTTGCCTTTGGTGGCAACTTCTGTATCCCGTGAGCGGTTATTTTCAGAGGCTGGGTCTACAATCATCCAGGAGAGAAACCACTTACTAGGCACCGGGTTGGCAAAATTGTTATTTTAATATTCAATTCGAAAGAAATAAACGTAAAAAAATATATTTAATTAATTCTTGTTTTCTGATAATTATTCGATAAAGTTAAACGTGCACAACTAAATAGCGTAAAACTTCCTTAATAAAAAAAAAAAAAAATATATATATATATATACTTCTTTCCCTCCCTCCCCTCTCTCTTGTGCCTTTCCGTATCCGGTAGGTTACATCATTGATCCTGGTCACAATCCGGTACGGGCCGTCCCATTTAGCTTGAAGCTTAGGAGATTTCCCTTTGCTGCGGACTGATTGTGCAACCACACTAGTTAACCTTCATCGAACCCTTTGTTGTTTATTTTGCGGTCATACCGGGTTTTCATCTTTTCGGACATTTGCTGGCCCGATCGCCTGACGTACTCATAAATGTCATTCATTTTGTTCCGCAAGTCATTTGCATAATCGGTTATACTGCGTGGGGCATCAGGTGGTATCCTGGTGATCAGGTCCGCAGGCAGCCGTAATTCTCTTCCAAAGTTTGCGAAAGCTGGTGTCACTGATGTACTTTCGTGAACAGCGCTTCGATATGACAACAAAAACGGTTGTATGTGCTTGTCCCAATCTCGTTGCCGGTTGTCTATAAATTTTGCTAGGTACCTCTCCAATGTCTGATTAAATCGTTCTACCATTCCAACAGATTGCGGATGATAAGAAGTCGTTCTTGTTTTACGAGTACCCATAACTCGGCAAGTTTCCTGGAATATTTGAGACTCAAAATCCTTCCTTGATCGCTGTGAATCTCTAAAGGTACTCCAAAACGACAGAAGACTTCATGAACTAGTTTACCTGCAACTGTTGAAGCTTCTTGATTTGGAATGGCAAAGACTTCTGGCCACTTAGTAAAGTAATCCATCACAATCATGAAATACTTGTTACTGCTTTCACTCTCCTGAAATGGCCCCGCCACGTCAATGGCTATTCTCTCCCATGGTGCACCAACATTGTACAACTTCAATGCACCTCTACTACGAGTTTGAGGTCCCTTTACAGCCGCACAACTTGTACATTTGCGACACCAGTCCTCGACATCGTGTCGACAGTGGACCCAGTAAAACCGTTCTCGGATCTTCAGTAGAGTTCGTTTAACTCCCAGATGGCCTCCTGAACAATCATTATGGTACAGCTGTAGAACATCGGATATTTTAGCTTTAGGGACAACCATTTGCAAATGACAGTTGTCTCCCCGAACATTTTCCTATTTACGGCACAGAACTCCATCCTGAAGCAGCAAGCTGTCCCATTGGGCCCAATAAGCTTTTAGTGGTCGAACTCATCGCTAAAACGTCGCTCCACTTGGGCTTGGGAGCACTGGCCTTATTCCATTTAAGAATCGGCTTGATGTCCGGATCTTCCTGCTGTGCATGTTGTAAGCTGTCCTTCCACTCGTTGCTGAGGTGGTCTGTCCTGAGCATCCTCACGGATACCACTTCCTTACTCTCTTGCGTAGTACAATGTTTGCAATCTTCAGGACAAGGTCTTCTTGATAATGCATCTGCGTTGCCATGAGATTTCCCGCTGCGATGTTCGATCCCAAAGTCGTATTCCTGCAGTAGTTCAATCCACCTCGCAACTTGTCCTGGATTTTTAAACTGCAATAGCCATTTTAGTGCAACATGGTCAGTTCTTAAGTAA